ATACGCATCACAACATGTAAACACTAGACTGACATCGGGCTTTGCCCAGTTGCCATCAGACGGAGTTTCCGCGTCACAACATGTGAACGCTATAGGCTGACATCCTGGGTTGTTGCGGCTTTGCCCAGTGGCCATCAAACGGAGTTTATGCGTTAAACCATGTAAACGCTATAGACTGACAGCCTGTGTTTTTCGGCTCTGCCCAGCGGCATTCAGGCTTTGGCGGAACATGCATATCAGACAGTGTGTGCGCGTTTCACACATGTTTATAATTTTGTCGTTTTGTTCTAGCTTCGCCCAGCTACCAACCAACCAAGTTAAACTGTGTTGGTAATGTGTTTGGAGCCGGCTTGGCTGGTATTATGCAACCTGGGATGTTGATCGATCATCCAAATGATTTGCTGGTGTTCTGCGTGTGCTTCTGCTGCCATCGACGAAACACGACAATCTTATGCAACAACCCAGATGTTTCATGGACAGAAACTCAGAGAAACAGTATTCAAACTCCAAGTTGCACTGAGGCATTATAAAACAAAACAAAAAATGAAACCAAAACCACCCCACCAAAGGACAACACCTAAAAAGGGACGGGGAGATGCATCAAGCAAACATATCCGCAATCAGGTTTTGAATGCATTAAAGCTGCACGTGTTCTTCTGAACTATTCTCCTTGTCTTTGACTATGTGTGGTATTGCCTGAAGCTGGTCGGCCCTTCTAGGGTTTCATGGCTCGAAGCCTGCACGAACTCTTGTTTGCATGCCTTTCAGCTGCGCTGGCATTTCGAGCCTAAACTGGGTCACTGACCTGTCCTGTTTGCACACTTGCAACACAGAGGTATGGAGCCCCCCCGGACTATATAAGCCGGGGACTGGTTTTAAGAATTGGAGCTGGTTCCAAACTTGTCGCGTCGAATCTCGCGTACTTCGTTCTGCAGGGTTTTGACTTAAAAGATTTGGCAATTCCTACTTGGTAGACCTTGTCGAGGCTCCCAAAACACAGAAAAACCCAAGTTCTTTTTGAAATGGGAAATCGGCTAGCCAGGTTTGAGCTTAGCCTGGGAGCTATGTCCAAAAAAATGAACAGGCTGCAGGTACGTCACCAAGCGTCCCTGGTGATATCCTAGGAGGAGCCCCATACGTCCCCCCCATCCCCCCGCATTGTTGCATGAACATGTGCAATCAACCATGCCTTGTGTTAGAAGGGTGTACACACCCAAAAAAAGATAAAGACTGTGTAGTGTATACCCTGCAGAAATCCAACGTGGCTATGGGAAAGCCCCATCTTTAATGGGAGGGCGTTAGGAAATCAATCTTTAAACTTTAGGCAAAGGGTTGATTTTTCCTTGCCAGCCAGGTTGGATACCACAGCACATAACTTTTCATCGCATCCCCCTTGTCATCGGATCTCTCCCTTCCCTTTGCCAGCATAGTTTATTTTTAGACCAGAGCAGGATTTTAGCCCTTTTTTTGAGATTCCCAGATTTTGTTGGAGGAATAAAATTACAGGAACCCGAAGCCCCTTTTTGTTTGGAGGTTGAAAGATGTGTTTTCTTCAGTTCTCCCAACAAAAAAAACCGAGGGATGGGATGACCCCTTCCGTTCACGCCAGGTCGACCGCAGTTCTGCAGCGACAGCATGCAGCCGGACACAACGGCTGGCGTGGGGAAATCCCAGGGACCTGCTCTGTAGTGCTTGTGGTGATATGAACCACCAGCCATTGGAATGTCAACCAACAAACAAAGTGACATTTAAAATCTTGAAGCTGGGAAGGATCGTTTGGGCATTTTTCAGGGGTGAAACGTGTTGAAGTCCAACAGTTCCATGAAAGTGAGGCGGTTGATGGTGTGTCTTGTCTGGTAGTTAGTCATTGCAAGTGGGTCGCAATGATGACCTGGCCTCGGTTGCCTTGGTTGCGGGTCAGGTTGATTGAAGTCTGATTTGCACATCTTTGGAAGGTCGGGAAGACTTAAGTCGACACCAATAATGCCAACTGATGATGTCTATGTTTTTCCCATAGCCATAACCCAAGTCCAACTACTTCATCTCCCGATTACCATGAGTAGGCACTTTTTTGCCATGCGCCGGCACCAGGTCGAAGAAAGTGGCGATTGGAATCTTTGGGTTCCCGGGAGGGGCAGATAGATCTCGGGTTGACTTGTTGAGGGGCGAAATGTTGGCCATAACTATCGAGAAAATTCCAGGATTCGATATTTGTTTCCCTCTACCCACTAGCGATTAAAGCTGGCAATGTAATCCTGTATTTGTGGTATCGGTATGATTTTGTATGTGTTTGTTTTTTTGTTAAAATCATCCACAAGTGGATATACATGGCGGTTCTCATTACCATGTTTGATTGCAAGGATAACTACCAGTACTTGTTTTGAACAGTATAGCCAAGGTTAGCCGTTGGCAAATCCTGACCAGTTCGTGGCATGGGGTCATGAGGGCCACGGTCGGATGATTTGTTCGCTGGGTGAGCTTGGATGTGGCGGTTTTTCGGGTTCGATGATGTGGCCTTGTCGATTACATTACTGAACCCCAGGTTTGTTGGCTAAAACCCCTCCTGCATTCCAACCATCACCGAACCCGGTGCTCTTTTTCGGTTGAGTATTTGTTGAGTGGCATGATGAGTAACCAACGTTGCACAACAGGCATCCCAAAAACACGGTGTTTGGCGATGTTTCTTGTGTTGGTGTAGGCAATTCATACATCATGCATGGCCGTTCCAGAAGTGAACACGGGGTTGAACCCTAAATGTTTATCGTCATTACACTCCCTCAAACAGGGGAAGGAGGTACACTTCACACATTCCAAGAGCCGTGGATGATGCTGTGGGGAAGCAGGGCCATATCGATCAGATCGTGGCCTTTTGGCTTCAGATTGGAGTAGGACCCCACTAAAAACATCTAAAAACTCTCCTATTTTTACAAGATGTGGTCAATTATCAGACAGTTTGCACCGGCCATTATTGCATTCCACTATCATGCTATCTACATACAATATTTTTTGAAAATGTATAATATTTATAATTGCCTATCTATCGATCGATCGATCGATCTATCTATCTATCTATCTATCTCTCTCTCTATCTATCTATCTATCTATCTATCTATCTATCTATCTCTCTCTCTCTATCTATCTATCTATCTATCTATCTATCCATCTCTCTCTCTATCTCTCTATCTCTCTATCTCTCTCTCTCTCTGTATATATATATATATCTCTCTCTCTCTCTCTCTCTCCCCCTCTCTGTGTGTTTAGTTGAACGGCATGTACATAGCTAGCCACCGGCGCGCTGCCAGGTCAAAGAGCCGACGGAGTGACCAATCTGTGGGCTGAGTCGATGAGTCGATGACCCAAAAAGCGGCCGATCCCATTTCCCCACCATGATATGAGGCGTCCTTAAAATGGTGGATCCCAAAATTTGATGGTTTATAAATGTTTATAATGGATTATAATGGAAGATTCTGCTAAAAATGGATGACAACTGGGGGTACCCTCATGGACTGGAAACCTCAATATGAGGAGATTCAATCAACCAAAAACAGGAGCATGACATTATCTCATTCTATCTATGACTTAATCTAGGAAAACCGAGCTAAAACATGCAATATAAAGCCATTTGCCAGGTGCATGATATAGTTCCATCTCCTTGTTTGAAAAACGCACCTAAATGGCTCGCCTAAAGGTGAAAGACTGAGGAGAGCCACCACACCAAGCGGAGTGTTTGGGGCATGCTCAGGTAGAGGCAGAAACGTTTTTGCCAGCTGTCAATGGGAGTTGACCAACCCAACTGTGGATAGAAAAGGGGGGCATCACATGAAACCACCAGTAAGAAAACTGGGATGCAACAAACAATAGCAAACAAGAACTGGTGGGTGAGTTGAAATATTGTAGCTTTCATTTTCTCACCTTCTTTTTCCAGGAAAGCCTCCCCAAAAAAAAACGTCGGATCTGCCCGCTGCATGTCCGCTCAACTCCGCTGATCATCACGGCGCGCCGCCGCCACAACAGAGGCGACCAGGCGGCAGCACTGGGCCCTGGTGGTTTCCCATGTCAGAAAGGGCCTGGGTAGATTGGAAGATGTTGTTTCCAATACTGGGATAGTACACTCATACAGGAAACTCTTGCAAGATCTTGCAAGCTTTGATGATTTCGATGGGTGTGCAGGCAACTAGTTTTTGCAGTCACTGAAAAAATGGCCTTGTGAGTAGCCAACCGAAGGCTTTCAAACAAAATGCTAGTAGGGATCTTTAAGCTGCCATTTGCAGCTTCAGGAGATGTCGGAAGTAAACCACGGCTGGACAAATCCCTTTTGGATGATTTCATGGCAACATGAGTGTGCTGTTGACCGTTGTTTCTCTCACCTTTTGTTGTTGTGATGGGATATGCCTTTGAGAGGTTCGACAATGTGCCCGAAATCAGGTAAATCAGGAAAGCTGTAGGAAACACAACGGCACCCTTTCTTTTCTCAACGCATGGATGTATGAATCTTCTCTGCTGAGTTTTATAAATATACATACATACATACATACATAATGTCAACATCGTATTAATAAACCCCCCCTCCCCCCCAAACATTAAGAGCATCAGAATAAAGTTAGGGCCGAACATTCAACTATCGTAAAAATCACCTATGTATTCCCAAATGAATTGCCTAATTGAAAACGAATACTAAAGGGAAAAAACGGGAAAAAAAAGTTGGCGTACTTTATTGCGGGGGGGTTTTATTATTGTGAACCGGGAGTTGGCGTACTTTATTGCGGGGGGGTTTATTAACGCCATGTGAACATTACATACATACATACATACATACATACATACACATTTTTATATATATATACATATATATATATATATCCACTAATATTCATTCCTTTTTTTAATACATAATCGCACTTATTCTTGTCAGTTTCAATGGAAGGCATGACATCCTCAAGCACAGTCTCGGGCCTGGCCTGTTGCCAGCCCTGCATCGCTGCAGCATTCCATGGCTCACAGGGCAAAGCATCAATAGCTCCTGGTTCCGGCGTCCCCTGCAAGGGACCAGTTCCAAGTGCGCCATGCGAATGAGACTGCAAGGAGGCCGTGTGTCATATTCGAAAAGCTCTGAGCCATCCACCCTTCACACTTGGGGATGGTTGTTGCCATCGTGGTGTTGTTTGATTATGTCGGCGTCATGTGGTGTGTAGTTGGACCACGGCTTATAGACGGCCGTGTTGGGGTGGAGTTTTTTGGTGTGGGCGGCTCTAGGAGCGCGCGCACGTTGCACTATTTTGCATTGTTGTTTCTTGGTGTTTTTTTTTGGGGGGGGCTCGGGCGGGGGGCTAATAACGTTCTTGGCTGGCCGTCTTACAAGATATTCTCTTGGACTTGCTGCTACGCTATCCACTCTGCTCTTGCACTGTACCTTAAAAATTGCAGACATACGAAAAGAAAGATGGCCATCACAAAATGAGCCAAGGTGTGCAATCAATGATCCAGCAATGGATGTGGCGTCAAACAATTTTGCCGTGTTCTCCCAAAGAATTGATGTCACACCTTGTCGATCTGATGAAGAAACATCATGACTTTCAATAACGGCTTCATCCACTGAAACAAATAGTTTGGGTGCTTTGCAAAACCACTAAAAAACATGTATTTCCCCATGTAATTACGAGATGAAGCCGCTTTAACCAATGGCACGGCTGCGTGAAAAGTCCAAAATGGACTTGGATGCTCAGACCACTGTAAATCAGCAGAAAAACAAAAGGCAAGAATTGATGGTGTGCTGATTTCCTCACGGCCGCCTGTGAGCCGTGTACCTAGTTGTATTTGGGGCATCAGAGTCATTCAGGGTCTTCCAAGAGCCACTCATGGTTGATACTAGCCCTTCTGGTAAGGCATTCCTGTTCCACCGGCAGATACTTATCAATCTCATCATGGATCTTATTAATAGGACCTGAAATAGTCATAGATATGCTTTAAATGATTCCATCAATATCCCATTGCTAATTCCATTATATCCATCGCATCATACATGGTGCCAATTTGCCCTGTCCACCAGAAAGACTTGCCGCCCGCATGGCACTTCCAGGGCGAGCGATTGCCCTAGTTGTGGCACTGGTTGCGGTGATGCAGTGCCCCACCTTTATCCACACTGCTGAAACTTAAATGAAACCCACTGAGGCATTGGGACGGGCCCACAGCTGGACAGTAGCCAATTGAACATGCTACACGCCTTACAAAAACTGGGATGGCAAATGGGGTTCATTGACCGCAATGATTTCGTGGCAACTCAGATCTCATATCCTTACATTTGTGATTCTACCAGCGTTTGGTTCTTCATTGTTTTTTATTACAGTTACTCCCTGCTAAAACCTGCTTATCAACTGTTTCAAGACATCATGGTCTTTTGTTCATCACACTTCCCTGAAGAGGAGGCCGATTTTGCAGATGGGGGCTATATGAAGTTCTACTCATTAGAAGCTGCAGAAGCGGATATTGGCGATGAAAATGTTCGGCTATCATGTGTGGCTGTGATCAACTGATGAATTTACAGCATATCAATCTATAGATGACGTTGACTTTGTTTTTGGCACGAGCGGGGGCCTTCAAACTTGCCAGTCTTTTGGTGGCTTTAGATGCAGCTAAGCCAATCAAGATTTATTGCACATAATATTTAGTAACATGGATATGCTGCCTCTCGAATACGCATTGAAACCAAGTTGCTGGGAAATTTAGCCGCATTTTTTGCGGCAGTTGGCTTGCTTTTCGCGCGCACCAAGGAGTGGTTGGATTTGGCAGACTTGAAGTCAGAGAGCCTTGGAGTGGTCGGCTGGACCAGTTCAATGCTGATTTTAGCTGTCAAAATATGCCAAACCAAATGCCACGGCCAACAACTGGGGACTGGATGATGCTCTAATGTAGCTTTCTTGTTCCATGGGTATCTAAAGCGGCTGGTTTTTTCACTGCTGGCAAAATCAATTTGTGGACAAGGTTTCGGCCGCCAGCCACTTTTGACCCCAAGTTTCGACCGTGCATCAGTCAATATAATTCGATGTCTTCATTCATACAGCGTTTCAATTGAAACGTTGATGTTGATGGTGTTTCCCCCAAGTTTTGGAAGTAAACAAAATGTAACAAAACAGAACACAACCAAAGCAATGGGCATTGACAGTTTCGCGTTCACTCCAGGAACACCTTGCCATTGATCACTGATCTGGGTCTCAACGTCGGACTCGGACGGGAAGGCAAGGCAAGACTATAGACAAAATTGATGTAGAATAACATCATCCACAGCCATGCGGATTCTTTCTGCACAGTTTGCACTGTTGAGTTTTTGTCAGCTTCATGTCCTCATGTCCAACAATATCACTAGACTGCCTCGTTTGCTGCTGGCTTCGGGCCTGACAGGTCTGAATGCAACCTCTGGCAGCTGCAGCTTCTTGTTCTGGCAGTAGCCTGATCGTGTGAGTGCATCACACCATTTGAGTGTGTCAAGCAATTTCTTGACCATGGATGCTTGTTGGGACCCGTGTAGGCTCACAGCTAGAGGTCTGATGCCAGGAAATTTTCACAAAAAAATAGCCCTTCACCACCGTCATCCTCGGGGTTGCAAGGTTTACATGGGTCTAGCAGGTCTGGAGCCACCAGCTACAAGGAAGACCCTTCCCAGGTTTCATCGCGGACTTTGGCGTCCTGGATCTTCCACTGCTTGGGCTTGTCCGAAGCCGAGCAGGGTTGAGGTGCAGCGGAGTGGGGGCTCTGATTCGGAGGTTTTGGCGGCCACAAGACATTGACACAGTCGGGGCCTTAAAAAACTTGGTGGACCAGCGGTAAGTAATTACTGTGAAGGGAAAGCTATCATGCACGCCAAGGGGATCTGTCCTCTTGTCGTGGGGTGCGCTTTTGCCATGTCGTCACCAAACATCAAATACCAAAGAAGGAGAGATGTTGGGAATTCCGACAAGGTAAATTGTCTAGTTATACTCTTGTTCGGATGTGGCTTACTTGATGCCAGCTGGACGGTTTAAAAAGGGATCAACCAACTGAGAGAATTTCAACTTCAGAGCCGGGTGGATTCGGAAAACCTGCCAAGAGAGCCGAACCACAGCGGTTCTCACAACCGAGCGTCAAGGAAATCATGACAGACCTCCATTCAGATGTGCCTGGTTAGGTGGCTCCATTTTGCTGTTGATAGTTTTATAGTATAGTTAATCTGATAGTTTCTTCAAGCGATTTCCAACCGCAGTTCCTCTGCAGATACAATCCCTTATATCCACGGGGAGCCTTGGAACTTGGCTTCCGCAAGGCCAAGGGAGGGGCGACTTGCCAATAGTTTGGACTTGTTGTTTTGCAGTTTTATGCTGGGGCCGTCAGGTTTCATGTTGAACTTTGGGGGATGTTTGGCTATTGGCTCCAATTTTGTACGTCAGGGCTGATGGATGGAGCAAGATGGAGTGAACATGCCTGTTTTCACCATGTTTACATTTACATAAGGCCTTCAGCGCTGGGCGTTTGAAATTATGATTTCGACTGCTTGCTGACACTTGGCCAGACTCCCAGACTGATGGCCCACGATTCTTCATCTATTTGCGGTCGCCTTTGGTTTTCCTGGCTCATGGGACAATTTTGAGCCTGACACATGGAAGAATATCATAGCATACCATAGCATATCCCACCAAAAGCCGATGATATGTTTTGCACTGGCACTAAACCACCGAAGCCCACGCGGAGGAGCTCAGAACAGACAAGGATCAGGGCTATCAGCTCTTCATGGGCCTGCAAAGCACAGGTGGGGCCCGGGCCCAAATCAGGAAGCTGCCACGGCCATGCAGCTCGTGTCATGTTGCAAAACTAATGTTTGCCCAATGCCACAAACCATCCCATTAACCCCTATTGTGACTCCACTTGACAGCTCGGCAGGTGATGATGAGCGCTTAGATGTCCTCACGGAAATTGGAGCGCAGCTTGGTTTTGACCATGCAGGTGAGGTATCCCTGATTGTAGAGCTTGTCAGCCCAAAACATGGGGGTGAATGCATGAGGGATATGGGGATTTCAAGAAGACTGCAAGATGCTGCTGAGTTGGAAGTAGAAGGATTCCATTTCCCTCAAGCTCAGCTTAATACATTGATACATTTCATGCGGCGCACCTTTCAAAAACCGACTTGTTCATTCACAAGTTGACAATGCTGGGCCAGCAGTCCCAGCAGGTTGAATACCGACAGCCCAGGATCAAACTCTTCCACAATGCCAGGGCCTTTTATCGCTTCTTGTGGGGCTTTGGCGGTCCATACCAGGAGAAGTCAGGCAACGGAGGGCCAGGACCAGTCTGTGTACATGTCTTCCTTTCAGGGTAACACCTTGACCCCTTCAAGACCTGGATGCGACGTGCAACAATGGGTAAGACATAGCAAGAATCGCAAGCAGCCCAACCAATCCAGGCGGTAAAGGCATGAACCCTTTACAATAGGTGAGTGTTCCAAATTTGGTGCCCCATCAATTTTTCTTTGAACATGACCAGGGATGTTCACCAGCCCTTGGCTCCACCCCCTGGTTCATGTCGGGCGCAGGCTCTAATAATTGGAATCAGATGGGTTCATCCCTCGGGGTGACGCAGACCAATCTGCCACCGAACCTGAAGGGCGGGGACCCCAACATTTTTGTGCAGTAGGATTGTGGCCTGCCGGTGTCCCAAGTGAAGATTGATATTAGTACAAGTAGTACCCGGGCAAGCCAGGGGCGGAAGTTTCAAATTTGAAACTCTTATAGCCTGTAGAGCGGAGCAAAGCCTGTGCCTATAGGTGACCGGCAAGCCTCCTGTGCTTCGTGGCAACAGGCTCTTGACTTGTCAATCTGATGTCTGATGCCATGTTTTTTGAATGTTGAATCTTTTCTCGTTTCATCTGATCTCATCGCATCGCAGCTTCTCCTGGAAATTGCTCACTGCATCCCACTGTCACCGCAGCCTGTGTCATCCCATCTCATCTCAACTCATCTCAACTCATCTCATGTCTTCTCAGCTTTTTTCACCGCATCTCACCTCATCCCATCTCATGTCTTCTCTCCCATCCTCAGCTCTTCTCAGCTGATCACGGCTGTTCTCTTCTCTTCTCATGTCATTTGAGCTTTTCTCATCTCTTCTCATCTCATCTCAGCTTATCTGTCTCAGCTTTTCAGATTGTCACAGCTCTTCTCAACTCTTCTCAGCTCTCCGCTGCTCATATAAGCTCATCTTATGTGTTCTCATCTCTTCTCTCCTCGTCTCACATCTTCTGAGCTCTTCTCACATCTACTCAGCTGATCTCAGCTCTTGTCAGCTCGTCTCAGCTCTTCTCAGCTCTTCTCAGCGCACTCTCAAATCATCTCACCTTCTCTGTGCTCCAAAAACGGATCTCGGCGCCAAAGCAAGCAACCCCTACGCTTTCCACAGAGAAGATTTGACACACAGAAGCTTTTACACACAGCAAGCTTTTACACAGAGAAGCTTTTTCACAGAAAAGTTTTTACACACAGCCAGCTCTTGCACGGAGAAGCTTTTACACACAGCAAGCTTTCACACAGAGAAGCCCTTACACAGAGAAGCATTTACACAGAGCTTTTACACACAGAAGCATTAACACACAGGAAGCTTTTACGCAGAGAAGTTTTTACGCAAGAAGCTTTTACACACGGAAGCTTTTACACGCAGAAGCTTCTACACAGAGAAGCTTTTACACAGAGAAGCTTTTACATACACAAGCATTTTCGCACAATGGTGCCAGACGTTGCAGCTCCAAAACCGGATCTCGGCGCCAAAGCGAAAAAACGATTCTGAAGCACTTTTTAAAAGGAATTTTAAAAGGAAAATCACCCGCGCCAAAATTGAGAAAATCTGTTGACAAATCACTATCGCAAGCTTGATGGAGCCACTCCAATACGATTTACGATGTCCAGCTGCGAAAGACAATAGTATCACGCACGCAGCGGCGGCACCAAGCAACTGCAGAGACTGAGCTGCAAAACGCAACAGAACTACGCGCAACGGCGTCACAAATTGCAGCTCCAAAACCGGATCTCGACGACGCCAAAGCTTTTAAAAAAAATTGAAGCGCTTTTCAAAAGGAATTTTAACAGGAAAATTACCAGCGCCAAAATTGAGAAAATCTGTTGACAAATCACTATCGCAGCCTTGATGCAGCCACTTCAATACGATTTACGATGTCCAACTGCAAAAGACAATAGTATTACGCACGCAGCCGCGGCGCCAAGCGACCTTGACGCAGCCATCACAATGCGATCTGCAGAGACAGAGTTGCAAAACAAAATAGAACTACATGCAAGAACGTTGACAAAACGACGCCTGAACTGGCAGCTCCACAGCGCGGCCGATCCGACCATGATCCCGGTACAAACGAGCGTGTTCCGAAACCGTCCGCCGGACAAGCTTCCCCGTCCATCTTCCGAGACACGTTGTGTCCTGCAAAACACAGCATGTCGTGCATCTGCTATCTCTCAAAAACGGATTTCGTGCGAGACTTCCCTCAAAAAGTGATAGCTGAAGATGTGAAAACGAAGCTTTCGTGCGAGACTTCCGTCAAAATCTGAAAGTGCAAGATGTGGAAACGAAGCTTGCATGCGAGACTTCCCTAAAATCTGAAAGTGGAAGATGCGAAAACGAAGCTTTCGTGCGAGACTCTCTTGGCTGTGGGATCCCTTGGCTGTGAGATCTCTTGGCTGTGGAGATCTCTTGGCTGTGAAATCTCTTGGCTGTGGAGATCTCTTGGCTGTAAGGTCTCTTGGCTGTGAGATCTCTTGGCTGTGAGATCTCTTGGCTGTGAGATCTTTTGGCTGTGGAGACCTCTTGGCTGTGAGATCTCCTGGCTGTGGAGATCTCTTGGCTGTGAGATCTCTTGGCTGTGAGATCTCTTGGCTGTGGAGATCTCTTGGCTGTGAGATCTTTTGGCTGTGGAGATCTCTTGGCTGTGGAGACCTCTTGGCTGTGAGATCTCTTGGCTGTGGAGATCTCTTGGCTGTGAGATCTCTTGCTTGTGGAGATCTCTTGGCTGTGAGATCTCTTGGCTGTGAGATCCCATGGCTGTGACATCTCTTGGCTGTGGTGAATAGGTTTTCGAAAATCCGTAACTCGGAAGTTGACTTTCAAACTTCCTTTGATACTCACTACAATCCTGCCGTGAAATATGTCCACCCCTCAATTTTGCAGCAAAGCCAGCCATTTGCTATTTCATATAAAATCATATGAACACAATACCACAAGCAAAAAAACGCACAAGAAAAACACATTGTGGATCTCTGTGATATTTTCAGCGTGCCCTGGGCCAGTTTGACGGTGCAGGCATGTTTGTATCGTGAACATTGCACATCCTCAGCCTAGGTCAGTTGACCATAGGTTGGCGGACAGGATTGTTGGACGTCGGCTTGGAAGGTGGGGGCTGTAAAACGGCTACCTTTGTACATGATCCACAGGGCTTGCAAGCACCACTGGGCATTCTGATAATCTAACACGGCTTTAACAATTGATTTTCTGGTCGGATTGTCATGTTTCGGAAACTTCTAAATGCATCCAAATCCCATGTTCGTTTCCGGAAGGAACTATCTTGACACAACTGTGGGTGTTTTGAACCGTTCATACTGGGACGCTTTGGGATGTGATTTGCTGATAAGCCATTCACTCATCCGACGGGCTGGTGGGAGCGTAGTGCGCGTTCCCACTTGCAGGTGGCAAAGTGCTTCCACCAATGCTGGCCCGACGCAAAGCGCAGAAGAAGAATCGAGGAGCAGGGCACAGTGGGCCAGGGTGGCAGCCGAAGCCTTGTCAAAGGCGCCAGTGCAACCCAAGGTCCAGAATCATTACAGGAAAGCGGCATGGGAGTTTCTATGTTTTTTGGGTGTGGCATTGTGTTTTTAGCAGTTGACAACTGCATTCTCAAGCACCATTGTTAAATACGTTTCCCCTGTAGTTCGTTCCCATGAGCACCGATTCAAGCCCAACATCATTGCAGGACTTCGGGACAACCTGTTGGATTCATCGCCCTTTGCTGCTTATTCTCTGGAATTGCCCAAAAATGCCGAGGCCGCTAGCGGTCAAGTGCCGAGTGATCCAAGGGGTTTCTCAAAGAGTTTCCCGACCGCGAGCCATTTGATGCCGTGTGTTCCCACAGTCATGATCCGGCAGTCATGATCCGGCATTCGGGAATAGGGGAAAAACCTTCTCTTCGCAGAATTTCAGAACCCCGAATTTCCCACCTACACTGGCCGTTCCCTCCCTGGCAGGTGTCTTGGACAATACTGCCTGAACACGAAGTGCTGGAACATGCCTTGCATTGGCGCAGTGGCATGGACGCTACTGGGGGACAGGTAGTGATAGCGGCTGTCTTGGAGCAGTCTTTGAGTTCGCCCCGGGCGCGGCTGCGCATCGGCACCTGCTACGAAAGAAAGTGAGAGATGAAGTTTGTAGGTTTCCAAAGTTGCCTGGTTCCAATGTGCAAGGAAGGTGGGACTTGGATTGACCAAAATCAAAAATATTGAAAAAGTATGGACGAGTATGAAAAAGTAATGTTTTGTGGTTTTGTGGCCTTGGCCAAGGAGCATGATAAACCTTTATGGGGCCAGCCTGTTGCAACAGCAGATTCAACAGCAGATATAGGGTCTAACAACGTTTTGCTCACCAAAGTCCAGCATTTCACCTTGCACAGATACAGTTACCGAGCAGAGTTACAGCCAAAGTGCTGACATGTGAGACATGAGCTGACACAGATTCTGAACACATCCACCGCTGCATTCGCCCGACCGTTCAGATGAGAAGATGGCTTGGCTGAGCGGAAGCGGTGTTCGGCCCTGGGGGCCTGTAAACATTTAGAAACCTTCGATGGCCCAAGGTCATCTCCATGGTCAAGGGGTCCAGCACAGGCGTTTGAAGATCTGAGTAGAGCACAGTGGAGCCACTTGCATCTGAGACAAAGCCGCCACTGGCCAGCGTGAACCCCACATGTGATATCCATATTCCCTCAACAGAGGCAAGTTGTCATGGGCATGCATGGGTCTTGTTGGGTATAGTCGGTATAGTGGCTTCTGTGTTGATCGAAAAGTGCCACGTCACCCGCAAGCAAGTGAACAAGAAGAAGGGCTAGTGTAGCAGGCCACAGCCAACAGATGTTGGCCGCATTCTTTGTTTGTGCAGGGTGAAAAGAAATCCAATGAAATCCAGCGTCTTGGGGGGTACCTTCCTCAATGGCTTTCCAGGTCAATGGCAAGGCTGGGAAGCCCGGAGTGCCTATAGGATTTTAGGTGAGCTAGTCAATTTCCGTGCAAAAACATGACGAGACAATTGTGTGTTGGTAACATCACTTGGTTTGTCACGTGGTATGGGGGCTGGGGTGGGTATCCGTGTAGGCCCAGCATAGGCGTATTGATGCAGATGAGTAGATGGCTGAGGCTGATGATGAAGATGAAGAAGAAGACGAAGATGATGAAAAAGATGGTGATGACGATGTTGATGATGATGATGGCGATGATGGCGATGATGGCGATGATGGCGATGATGTCGATGATGGCGGTGATGGCGGTGATGGCGATGATGGCGATGATGATGATGATGATGATGATGACGACGATGACGATGACGATGACGATGACGATGACGATGATGGTGGTGATGACGATGATGATGGTGATGATGATAATGATCGTCATCATCGTCATCATCGTCATCATCATGATGGTGGTGATGGCGATGACGATGGTGTGATGAATGCTGATGAGGAGGAGGAGGAGGAGCAGGAGGAGGAAGAGGAAGAGGAGGATGAGGATGATGAGGATGAGAGAGGAGGATGAGGAGCAGGAGGCTGAGGAGCAGGAGGAGGAGGATGAGGAGCAGGAGGAGGAGGATGAGGAGGAGGAGGAGGATGACGATGACGATGACGATGACGATGACGACGACGACGACGACGCCGACGACGACGACGATGATGATGGCGAGTGATTCCTGGAGCATTGAAATGAGAGTCGTGAAGCGGCATGTTTGCTGTGGCGCCCTTCAGGTGTCACACTTGACCGCGGCACCGGCTATTTGATTTTTCCATGTGCCCGGGGTTGCTGCCAAATTATAAGCCCTAGCGGTTTTGGAGGCTAAAAATGTGGAAGATTTTGCAGTAGGTTGAGTCGCAGCTATGATTGGGTATTAGTGCGACATGAGACAGGTTTTGAAGGAAAATTGAGACGTACAGGGTGCTTCTGCCAATGACTCCTGGATGCCAGCAGGGCGATGGCCACGGTGGGAAGCCAAATTAGGTCAGGAACCCCAGGTGGTGCCACATCAAATCATCGCTGTGGTGGAACGCCTCCAGCTAGGAACGCCTCCAGCTATCAGCAAGAAATGCGGATTTGATATGATGTATACGGGTGTGCCTGGAAATAGGGTACACCTCCAATTTGCCTCCAACTGTAGCTATTTCACAGAAAAAGATGATCATTCACCATTGGGTTTTGGGGTACGCTATTTTCAGAAGAACCCATATGTTCGGGTTCTTTTTGGTTGCTAGTAACAAGTAACAAACATAAACATTTGGATATGGTCATATTCAACATGACCCCTCCTGAACTTCGACATGCGTCACCCTTGGCAGCCCAGGTGGTTCTTCTTTGCGCTGCTGTCACTGCGAGCAGATGGGTGGCTCGAGTCGCACATGGCCTTGCTGGGTTTGGAATTTGGCATGTGGTGAGCTGGCGGGGAAACGATGGCATTGATAAAAGGGAACATTAGTTCAGTAGACATAACTTGCAAATGGTAGAGGAGTTTGGTAATCCCGCAGCATTGGCCAATTGGTGTGTCCAAAGCTGTGCCTTAGTCATATCCAAGCAGGGGAGCAGCCTCCACACAAACAGGGGTCCCCAGTTCTTTCACCACAACTTGTCGGTCAGTTTGCTAGTTTTTCTTAGGTCATTATGAAACCATATATGGTAATCTGGCAGGTGGTGACTTGGTCCTGTCCTCATAGGAGACATTGTTGCCCCAAATGTGCTGTGGGAAAGATTATTGCATTGTATATGCTTAGCTGCTTGCGGATGCCAAGAACTTGGCCTTTAGATCCCCACTGATGAGGCAACTGCGCTTGGAGAGGTGCCTCTTCGAGGCGAATCAGCCCCACGCCAGGAGTTATCAAGAGCAGTCCCAAAGGTAGTTCTGCTGTCATTCCAGATGAAGGCAAGTCATCTAACTGATTAAGAAACTGATTTCCTGGCGTTGGAAATCCGAAGACAGTGAGATCTTGATTTCTCGAAGTGGGGTATTCTCCCCTGTGAGATCTTGATGGTGGACGATCGGCCATGGAAGCGCTTGAACTCCTTCCAAGCGCCCTACTGGGCCTGGACCTTGCGGGTTGGCGAAGGTGGCACTGTTGCAGAATGGGGCGCCAAAACATTGGGATAACCTTAGGCAGATACTTTAGTAGTTGATTTGGCTATCATGGAAAAATGTACTAACCAACAAAAATTGAAAGGTTTGACAGGTCTCCAAGATTCACCATGTCACCAGCAAAAGTGAGATGTTACCTGGAAAAGATAAGGGCACCAGCGCAAATGGGATGTGCAACCACCAACGGTGCGGGCCCAACCAACACTGAGGGTATTGGTGACGGTCAAACGGTTCCTCGACCGGCTGATGTTTTTAAACGTCTTTGATCTGAGATCCCTATGTAGACTCGGGCCGACAAAAATATGTTTGGAATAGGTTGTGACCACCGAACAAGTGATTTGACAAATGCCTTCGATTTGTTGACAGTGCAAGCGATACCGGTGGTTTTTGATGAACCCTGTGCGGGCGGCCGGCAGGCAAAACAGGTTGATGGTTTCAAATTGTTTGACAAATCTTGATTGTTCCATCCCCCGACTTTTCCGGCGATGATGCCAGGTGACTCACATATTCTTGCGTGGGTGGTTCAACCACTAATTAGCGGACATTTACCCACTTACACCCAAGCGGCTCAAGCGTCTGGATAAATTATAACGACCTCGCCGTCACATCACTGCAAATGATGGCTAGTAAGGGCAAGCACATGTTTGGCCTGATTTTGGATTATAGATTGGTGAGTTCTAATGATTAATTGATCCGGAAGTATGGCATGTTACATGATATCATCGTTTTTCTTGATAAGACCCGGATGATGTCCCGATGCTAAGATTTTGTGGGTTGAAACATGTGTTCATGATCCATGTTTTGTTTTGGTAAGGTCACAGGGGCAGCTCTGAATTTCGCAGCTTGGCTGCAGCTGAGGTGGTGCTAGCGGAGTTTTGAGTCAAGTGTTGGTTGAAATCAGAACTCAGGATGGGCAAGATGCATCCTGGTGCAATTTCTTGCCCATTGATTGATTGTGCCCGGGTTGTCGCTTTTATCCCCATCGCATCCATCCGCGGTTCCCCCATCAATGTTGACCTTGGATGTCCTACGCGCGCCAGTGATGCAATGGTTAATAAATGTTAATAAGGCCTTTGCCCGAGAGCACGGCTACGACTTCAAATTGGCCGTGGCAGCACAGAGGGGTCGTTTTTCCGGGTTGTTTACGGGAGTATTGTTGGGGCACCATGGTTCTCTCAGAAGCGTCTTCTTATTTGTAATGGGCAGGGGGTTGTTTCCTGAAAGTTTCCCCTTAGTGGCCTTAGCTTGGGGTCATCTGCTTATGATATTGACGGACATGCTGGTCCCAGATAGAATCTGAAATAGATTGCTTGTTAGCCAGCTTCGGGTTTGGAAGATGTAGAACCTCTTTTTTGCCACCCGCAAGTTCAAACAGATTACGGTTGGACAAAGCACCGTCGCTGGGTTGTATTTTCAAAGAATGTCCCCCTCATGTTTGAAAGAAAATTGTTTGGCTGTGATTCCAGCAATTCGGTTTGCCACACCTCCCTCCCATGCTAGCACCTCCAAGAATTCCAAGGTCTAGCATGTTGTTCTTGGGGCGATCGCCTCGCTTAGAAAGTAGTTTGCAACCATTGTGAGCAAGTCCCCACTAGCACCATTGGCAAGGTCCGACCATACAGTACATCAGAGTCTGGTGAGCGGCGAGGCAATGGCACCAGCTGCTGATGGGATGCCACGCCCTTTTTTTTTTGGAATTTAACCAGTGGCCATTGATGTCAAAGGAAAACGTAGAGGCAACCCATGGGTTTGAATCACCGACGAGGCGGGTGGGACCGAGTGATCTATCTCCACAATTCCTTGCCGGGATCGCAGCAGGAAGGGTGCAAGTGGAGCCTTGCCTAATGCATCACTTACTTGTTTGTGAAGGCAGTGGCCGGTGATTTCAGTGAGATTGCGTAGGAGAAAGCAAATATTAGATTGTTCTTCAAATGGTGTTCTGTTGGTCGTCAGGATACTTTCGAAGGAACACCTTTCTCTGCTGGAGAAGCAATGGTTTCCTATTTCAGGTCTTCCTTAAAAGCAGCCCGCTGAGACAATTCCGCCGTGTGATAATAGATGAATTTTGTATATTAGGCCTTTACTTGCAGGAGCACGTCATTGGAGCACATCATCCACAAAAACCACCGTGGGGTCCACCAAAACCAGCAGCTATCTAAGTACCGGGGCTGGATCCCAGGCTGACCACAATCCGCCCTTACTGTAGTGGTTGTTGGTGATGAAGCCCTTAATATGCTTTTTATCAGCTCATCCTTGCAGGAAGGATCACCTTGAAAAGGGTTGGCCATGGTTGGCCCCCTTTCACACGAGGATTCTCTATCTGGATTCAGATGCCTTCTGGCGCAGTGGCCAGTTACAGCTGCAGCACATGCTGGAGCATCTGCTTAGCCGATACCAGCTGCCGCGTGACTGTGGCAACTAGGTGGAAACATGTTTTTTGGGAATACGGGTGCCAGGGTAACCTTAGAAGGGGAGGTGGGTCGAGGGGGCGCGCAATTCTTGAACCCAATGCTATTCAGAAAATTCATCTAACTTGTTGGGTGGTAATTAATCATTTTGTGGCTCAGTCTTTGTTGATTGAACAAAATCTTACCCTGCATCAAAAAGGCAAACATTGGCATTTCTATAGAAATACATAGATCTCTTCACCCAAGGGCCCTGTCCACCATTGATAGAACACAATTCCAGATTTCCCTTGCAATGCTGACGGCTTCCAACAAGAATCAGAGGTTCCGGTCCCCAAAACGGAGGTACTGCGGCATATGGCCACCATACAAAAAAAGCTTCGGTGGTATCCCCAACAGCCGTATCGTTTTATTTTTGCAAATCTTTCTGAAGCGTGCTGCGAAGCCAAGCCTGTTGAACCGGAACCTTCTCCGGAACCCTGTGGAACCTGATCTGGCTCTGCACCAAAGCCTCCCAGACCTTCTCCGGAACCTTCTCCCCTGTTGAACCTGACCTGGCTCTGCACCAAAGCCTCCCAGAACCTTCTCCGGAACCAGTTGAACCTGACTTGGCTTTGCACCAAGGCTTCCTGGAACCTTCTTCGGAACCTTCTCCAGAACCCTGTTGAACCTGACCTGGCCCTGCACCAAAGCCTACCGGAACCTTCTCCAAAACCTTCTCCGGAACCCTGTTGAACCTGACCTGGGATGCACCAAAGCCTCCCAGACCTTCACCGGAACCTTCGGAACCTTTATATGCTTCACCTTGCTATAAATTAGGTATGTTCAATTTACCAAATAGGGCCACGGAAATGATTCCCCCGGGATCCTCCTGTAAACTTTGCTGCCCAGGAACTTCCGCCATCTTTGCGCGAGAACAGCCCATGCAGTACTTGAACATCACCCGCAGCGCAGTACCCCCTGGGGAAAAGCCGCTGGCACCATTTCTGAATGCAGGTGGCCCTTGGCCGGTGACGTCCAACAAAAATCTGGTTGGACCCAGCTCCGGAAAGTGGGGGTTCGACATGTGTTGATGACCCCAAATTTGGGATTACATTAGCGGCAGGAACGGGAATCAACCACCAAATAACATGAGATTGAGCCGCAAAAGTTTGATCAAGAAACAAATGTTTTGCCTTTTTATGTTCACGATTATAGTAAGCGCAGATGACACGGGACCTTGCAGTCGATTTAGCCTCGTTGTTTTGCACATGACATGGGATTTATGTATGAATTTAGCTAAGGTTTTTTGATACACATGACATGGGAGTAATGTGTTTGCCTAACGGGCAGGGATTTTCCAATTTTTTGACACATGACATGGGAAAATTTGAGAAGAATCTTGGGCCTTCCAGGAAAAACATCTGCACACCCTTTTTCTCCCACGTCGAACCCTGCTTGGAATTGTTCTCAAGAGTGGGGTGGGGAGGGTTTGGGAAGGCTCAAAATGAAGCATGGGGAGTGGGTTGGGCTGTCCATGGTTCCCAAGGACAGGGTGGGAAGGGTTGTAACGATGGCTGCTGATTCACCATGGAAGTACGCCATGAAACACGCAGTGTTTTTAACAGGGTTAACATCGGAAGGCCCATCCTGTAAAAAAACCTCTAGTAGGTACGAAATTTAAAATGTGCATTGTCTTTTATTTTGCTGGCTTGCAAGTATGCCAATGTACCCCGGAAGGATACACCATTTTCATCCATGTTCAGCTACAGAGACGGCTTTTCCAAGCCAGGTGTCTTCCTCTTGCGTGCTGACTGCCCAGAAGCCCTGCAGCTATTGGACGCTTGGTTGCTGGCAGCTGCAGAGGTACCAAAGAAGAGGCCCAGTGCTGGAAACACATCAGAAGTAGTACAAAAGCAGGATGAGAAAACGGTGGTTTAACATCATAGTAGATATTCAAAGCTCCAAGACAGCGTAATAAACTTTTCATGTTCTGCATGGCTGAGATCTTCATCAAAAATAACGCTGTTTGAAGATGATGAGATGATTGGCCAACAAGGAACGATGAGGTTATGGTTGGCTGGTGATTTCGAATTTTTAATGTTATTGCTTTAGCTGCCTCAGCGCACAGGCTCTGGAACACCTGGCCTGCGGAGCAGGGAATCCTGTCGGAGCTTTTGGTGCCTGGGAGTTATCCTCCAGCCGCCACTGGGACCAAGTTTGAAGGGTCCAAACCAGGCCATAGGGTAGAGGGAGCTTGTTTTGATGTCATTTTTTGGATGGGAGGCTTTAGATCGATTTGTTTGCGAATTCTTAGGCTGGCTCATTACCATACAAACCACTTGCTAAATGGTTTTGTCATCAGGGTGGCATCAGTTCCGAAGCTTTTCACGAAGATTCATGTGGATTCACAATTCTACTTGAAGTTTCAAGTGGCCTTGGCTGACAAGTCTGTATGATTGGGCTATGTCTATAAGTCTATAACCCCACTTACTAACCAGTTTCCAAGTGGGATGATCCTCTAAATGCCCCCCCCTTTGAACGACACCCCTTGCCCTGGAGGTCACGCGGTGGCCATTGTGAACATGACAGCCTTTTGACTGGAGATGCTCCCGGCGGATGGTTTAAACAACAGGGGTTCAATCAGCTAAAATGGGGAGTGGTTCACCTACCAACAAATATGGACTTGACTAGAGGCCGGTGGTTTCAACTGCTGTGTTTGGTCTCCACCTTATTGTTTTTGCCCGATGAGCCCATAGTAAGCCACGTGTTGTAGCAGAAGTCTTGGACTGTGCTTGGTTCAAAGGGCACAGGCTTCAGCCTGTGCTGATCAGTATGTTGCTGGACCAAAAGGATCTAAAAGGTATATGGCTCGAAATGCAAGACGCTGGAAATCACAGGGTTGGAGGTCCCCTTTAGTAGTAAATCATAATCCCAGTTGGTACCAAATTTGACCACTATCCATGAATGCAGCATACATAATATATATAGATATATATATCTATCTAATCTAATCTAATCTAATCTTATCTGATCTTATCTATCTATCTATCTATCTATAGATTAACATGCATTTGTTTATTTATACTTATGTTTTATGTTTATATTGATATTCATGTATATTTCCCCACCTGCCAGGTGAGGGTTGCTAGATTTTATCAGAGTTGTTCTTCTCCTCCTCCTCCTCCTCCTTCTTCTCCTTCTCCTCCTCCTCCTTCTCCTCCACCACCTCTGCCTCCACTTCCATGTCCACTTCCGCCTTGCCAACTCTTCGCCAAGCTCTTCGCCAACTTCCGCACGCAGTGGCACCAGTGGACCTCAACTGCAAGGGTCTGAGCGCACTGGGCACCGCTGGACCTCAACCTGGGACCTTCCGAGCTCAGTGAGCACCGCTGGACCTCAACCTGGGACCCGCCGAGCTCAGTGAGCACCGCTGGACCTCAACCTGGGACCTTCCGAGCTCAGTGAGCATCGCTGGACCTCAACCTGGGACCTTCCGAGCTCAGTCAGATAGAATGCCCGAAGATATGCATAAAATGCAGAATAGAAGCCAAGAATATATCCAGATTGTAAATGCCAGATAAAGTGCCTAGAATGTTTGTCCAGATAGAATGCCGAAGATTTTCCAGATAGAATGCCAGGAAGATTTGCCAGATAGAATGCCAGAAATATGCCAGATAGAATGCCAGAAGATATGCCAGAATAGAATAGCCAGAAGATAATGCCAGACATTATGCAGAAAACTATGCCAGTAGAATGCAGAGGTATGCAGATAAATGTCAGATAGAATGCCAGAAGGTATGCCATAAAGTGCCAGATGTTTTGCCAGATAGATGCCGAGCCAATAATGCCAGAACATATGCCAGAAGATATGCCAGGTAGAATGCCAGAAGATATGCCAGATAGAATGCCAGAAGATTTGCCAGTAACAAATCGATAAATGTCATGGTGGGGATCACACGAAGTAAAGTAATCACACTTATTTACTTATTTTGATGCATACACATATGCATATAGGAATCCACGGCTTGCAGTTTGCATGCAGCTGTGGCTGAGGAATTCAACAGCCCTTGGGGTCGCTTCATTCATCATGCTTGGGGTAGCGAGGTGCGAGCGGGGAGTGGCAGTGCTGGTTTGTATTTCATGTTTTATTTTGGACCGTATGGGGGTTTCTTAAAATTGGGGTACCCCAAAATGGATGGTTTATACTGGAAAACCCTATTCAACAGGATGATTTGGAACCCTTCACCGTATGAAGGCCACCGATGGCCTACTTCGACACCAGGCCTGGGATTTAAGGTTGTCAGCTTTCGTTCCTGCTTTTATAGGTGGCAGAATCTTCATGTACCCATTGATCAAATGAGGTTGGTCTAGCATTGAACGAACATGTTTTGAATATATCATAGTTGGCATAGTAGTTACGATATGTGCAGGGTATGCATGTTGCATGCATATCATCATGCAGTATTTCAAAAGCAAAACAATACCAAGGGTTGCCCAGCAAATTTCGGTAAGTTGGTGGACGCGTGGGGCATACCAGTGGAGGCCATGACAGATGCCTTGCTTCGGATCGGAGCGGCGGATCCCAAGGTCTTTGTTCAGCCAGGGCCTTGAATGATTAAAACGTGGCCATTTCAAGACATATTGGCTGGAGACTTGCAAAGTCTTGCCAACATGGTCGGGGCAAAATGATGTAGAGTCACATATAGGAACGGGTTGATGATGCTGATGATGGTGATGCTGATGCTGATGATGCTGATGCTGATGATGATGATGATGCTGATGATGATGGTGATGGTGATTGTGATGGTGATGATGATGATGGTGATGATGATGATGATGACGATGACGATGATGACAATGATTACGATGACGATGCTGATGCTGATGCTGCTGTTGCTGCTGCTGCTGCTGGTGGCGGCGGCGGCGGTGGCGATGGCGGTGGTGGTGATTATGATTGTGATCATGATCATGTGATTGTGATTGTGATTATTGCTTGTTGATTTTTGATTATTGATTATTGATTGTTGATTAGGTCTCAGAACTCATGGGTTCTTACAGTATGATATGTGGAAATTTAGGATGGTAACCACGGACATGTTGGGCAAAAAACTTGGCATTGGATGATGGGCAAACCAACCAAGTTTGGCCAGCAGTGGTTAGGCTCTGCCGTGGTGTGCTGCGCAGCTCTTTCTGGTGGCAGCGTGCGAGCCCCAAGTCAAAGTGACATTGCTGAACCAGGAAAGGTACTGTAAGTACACAAAGTCGAGGGCCTCACGAGCCTCACAACCAACAGTAATGGGGGGAGAATCTAGAATAGATGGTGGGGTTGAGGTAGGAGATATAAGTTGAATAAGTTGATTTCAATAGTTCAGAAAAAAGGGAAGATGAGTTGAACTGCTTGTTTCTGACACTGAGGGACGACAGAGGTGCCTATTTGATCCTATTTTCCGGTTTCATCACTCTTCCTTCCATACCCTTGTGTTGATATTTGATGGGATGGATCAGCGGCCTCAATACCAAGAATGGCAATAGATTCTTGCTGCATCGGCTTGGAAGGTGCGCCCAGTGGTGTTAAGAGTTTGGTTAGATCCCAATTACTTGCAGACTTGTGTAGCCCCATTCGCCTTTCGTCGTAACTGGACGGGGCCTATGATTGCGGCCAACTCCAGTTTATTCCGATCCTATAGGGCTGAGATGGGCTGAGTTTCCTATTGAACTAAGGGTGGAACTGGGAAAAGCTGATGGAAACATACGCCGCTGCGGGAAAAAGAGACCGCTTTTGGTGCCGAGAGAAGGTGATTTAGGATACGTGAGCAAGTTGACCAACAACCCATGATCTATGGTGGCGCATCGAGATATAATTGGATACTCCCGCCAGGGAATGCCATGGATTTGGAAGGCCTCCCATCCTTAAGTCGAGCCGAGTCGAGCCACAACCGGGATGGTGAGCTGTTCGACATATGACATCACGCTACTGAAATTGATGGTATCACTGGCCTTTTTTCGGGCCACCAAGGAAGGCGGTTTGTTCACGACATGGCAAACTGGCCGTCGTGACTTCTGGGCCCAAGCCAAGCAGATGCGTTTGCACCACAAATAAGAAGCAAGAAGCCAGCAACTGGTGTAGCAGAAGGCATGTCGCATGTGGTTCAAGGATGTTCTGTTCATTTTCTGGATGGTGAAGTCTACTACTTGATGGCGGCATGACTTCATGGCCAACCACTAGAGAAATCCGAAGAACCTGAGGCAAATAGCAAGAGCCAGGCACACCTCAAGCGTTTCACATTTGCATCATGGCGATGGATCAAATTGATGCAGAGGACGGGGGTTCTGCATTTGTGGGTGCTGCCAGCACTGGACTCCCTTGGAAGTTGAAGCTGTTGGAATGTTGGTCATGGCAAAGGCTGAGGGACCCCCAAACCAAACCAGACGATTTAAAGCGGGTTCCTTTTTAGCGGATGTATAAATAGTATAGGTCGATCCCATCATCGAGGAATTGATTCGAGGAATTGATATAGGGGGGTGAGTCTTTAGGAGGAATATATATATATGTATATATATATAAATATATATGTAGAAATATATATATATGTATAGTAATCCTAAAGTAGATAGAATATTTTTTTGGAGGGTGCGGGATTTATGTTGGAATTATGTTGGATGTCGGCCACTTAAAAATAAATAGGTAGTTGGAATATTTCGGGGGAGGTCGAAAACTGGTAGTTGGAATATGGTTTGCAGGGTCTTAAGCTGCTGTGGGGTCTGCGCGTGGTGTTCACAATTCCCTCAAAATATTCTATCTACCTGGTTTGAAACAAGATTCTATCTACTTTTTGGTGTTGTTTGATTTTTGTATGTTTCAAAATTTCTCCAGACCCGTGTCCAAAACTGGCTAAAAATGACTTAACAAAGACGAAAAACGTGTAAAACTGAGGGTTTCGAAAATATTCCAACTATTTATTGTTATTTTTGAAAATCATTTTTGAAAATGTCCGATATTCTATCTACTCCGGGATGACTATATATATATATATGTATATATATATGTATATATATATATATGTATATATATATGTATATATAGGTTCCCTATAGTAATATTCCCCTTTAACAAGAGTTTAATTCCCCCTATAGATTGTTGATATTTGTTGATCTGGCCTCAACCGAAGCCGCAAGTTTGCGAGGTCGAATCCATCCTACCTGGGATGCACATGGGATGAGCTAATTCGTTTATACATCTGATACTTGGGCATATTAATAGAATATGCCCATATATGTAATATATACGTGCATACATATATATATACACACACATTATTTGATATAGAAGGAAACAATGAAAAAGGTTATTGTTGCAAGTGCTGTCTTTTTCAGTTATTTCAATAATATACCCATGTATCCCCACTAGCCATTCCCTGCTGCGGGGATCAAACTCACCACCACACATGGCACCGCTGGCAGAAAATAAAAGAAGCCAAACTTGAGCTCTTCAGGGCGGTTTGGACACTCAGCCACTGCGTGCAAGAAGGGTTGGACTGGTACCAGCAGCAAAAGCGGATATATCACCGCCAAAAAATGTACAGGGCATATCAACAAAACATGGTAGTGTCAACCTAGATGAAAAGACTGTGTTTGATTGACTAAGGAGGCACCCTCCAAATAGTGACAATGTTCTACTAGAATAGCACCCTTCGAATTGTCCAGGAGATGGTATTCTTACAGTTATTAACCATTATCATCAACTAACCATGAATTTTAACAATTAACATCATTGTGAACCATTTATTAACCATTTCTTGACCATCTAACATTGGTTGCACAGGATCAACTTAACTATTGCACCTCCTGGGCTGGGAGATCAAGTCGGACAAGATCTGAGGTTCAGAAATCTCCCAAACTTTTAGCCACAGGCTGGGCATGGGCCAAAGGTTTGACCAAAAATGTTGGGAAGGGTCATTTGAAGGTCATGTTCTCTTGAGGTTCCAATTTCCATCGTAGTTTTAAGATGTTTTTTAAAGTGTAATTATCAAATCCGAAGGTTCGTTCTTTCATAGCACATTCTGCAGGGTTAAAGTTTTTGGAGGAAAGATTCGTTCCCGGACCAATCACCTGAATTGCGCACCACCTGGCACCGTATTCATGGACCTTCAGCAGGGTAGCCACAATGCCCCATCCCACATTGAAATGGCGTCCCAGAAATATGTTGTCGAAGCCAAGGAAATGGCTGCCCAGTTTTACACATTTTACACCATGCATGGCGTTGCATGGACAGCGTTCTTCCCCCATCCTCAGGGCAACGAGCAAAGGCACCTAGTGCTGCGCAGGCCACAAACCAGGGTTTGTCTGACAGGATGCATCACTCGTGTCTTCAAATTAGACCCAATTTTGATAGTGCATTTTCACGTTCCTCTTTAAAATTGCAGTTTTGGCGCTTCCCGATTTCTGGACAAATTACATGATTTTGCTGTCTCTAAGGGAATATAAAAAGCCACCATGCGGTTGGTGTTTCCTTTGCCTGTCATGACCTTCACCGTCCAGTGGGATCTGGCTACCGGCAGGAGACACTGAAGGCCATCAATGTGGCAGCCAACAAACTCTTATCAAAGCAGGGGTCCCAATGTTGGGATCCTTGCTGGGCAGTCGGTTGATACTGGCTGATGGATTCAAACCTCGAACATATGATTGATATGTATCTTCCGGCCTATCTGGGACGATGATCTTCAATGACCCATTTTTTCAGATCTATTGACACAGTGGTTGACACCAACAGCTAGGTATTCGGTAAACGACCCCCCAGCTAAGACTGAGATATGAAGCGCTTAGGCCCCACTTGCTTTTAAGCATGAGGTGAGTCTGCAGGAATCAGGTCAGTAGGTTAGCATGGGTCCTGCAACAACAGAATTCCAGTAGGAACCGGGGGAACACAACCCTCACACTTTTAGTTTGGTCCTGAGATGATTTCGAACACGACGTTTGAAGGTTGGCTGGGTGCTTTCATGATCTTCACATTTGCGGTACTTAATCTTTTTGAATTTTAGGGAACCAATTTATTCTGTGCAAGTCAGATGTCTTAGGTGGTTTATTTATCTTTCTGCTTATAAATCGAAGGCTTCAATTTTGGTGATTTGTTTGATCAGTACCATGTGGTGGCACTTGGCCTGGTCCTACATGATGTTACGTGCAGAGCGCTTGAATAACTTTGAAAACATGGACGATGACTAATTTATATGATTTTATATGTACATACATTACATTGCATTGCATTGCATTGCATTACATTACATTACATACATACATTTTATTGCATATATATGCGTGTGTGAACATGTATAATTAATGTATATGTATGATCATCAAAGCGAACACTCCCTGTAGTGACCGGTTGACACAAAACGGCCGCCCCATCAACGCCCAGGAGCGATGCAGACCTAGATGAATTGACCTCTGTGCTATCTCAGTTGGAGGCGGATCAAACATGGGAAAGGAACGAGATAGATTAATCATGGGAAAATCATCTATAAATGGAGGTTTTAGTGGGAATATCCATTTATAAATTGAGGTTTTGATGGTAAAATCATCTATAAATGGGCTAGTAACAGGCCAATTTAGAATCAAGTCAGGACCATACATGAAGTTTTACACGCGCCAATTGTCACAGTTTGCTGCTGAGAATCTAAGATGTTCAATGCTCGGTACGCATGGTAAAGTTTCATGACATCACACAGACCTATATGGAGGTTCCCTAAAATGGGGGCACCCCTAAATCATCCATTTTAGTGGGATTTTCCACTATAAACTATCCAGCTATTGGGGTAGCACAATTTATGGAAACCCCCATATATACCATCTATGATGGTTAGGGCCTCCAGGGGATCACATGTCCCAGGCTTGGATCTTGCAAAATGGTCACATCAAAGTCCAACAATACTGAACAGGAAAAATGGTTGGGGTCTTGCTTGTGCTCAGAAGTCTTGGCTGTACATGTGACAATCAGAGGCTCCACGCAAGCCCAAACGTCTTGAAGATTGGTTTTGATGCGCAAAAAGTTGTGTAGAGATGCTTAGTGCGCAAGATCTGACAGAAACCCTTGCCCTTGCGGCAGGTAGTATTCAACATGTGCTGTCCATAGGTCCATAGGTTGCGCAATGATTCAGTGTGCATCCCAGCAGCTCGGCCTGCTACTTTGCAGCACGCTTCTCATGCTTCTCAGTGCTGCGTTCGTTCTCCATCGCTCCACAACTCTGAAGGAAGCGATCTTTGCCGTGGCCCGGCAGCCACCTGCTGCGTTGACAGAGGCGATCAAGCCTGGTGGAAGACGTGCTGCACCGCTATATGGCCATGTTCATATGGCGAAAACAGCGGGTTCGTATTTGAATGGGGCATTGGCGCTGAATTACGAGAGAGTTTGTGGCCACAAGGGCTATTCGTATGATGCTGTTCAAGCAAACCGGCGCTTTTGGGGCAACCCAGCACCGAATGACACATTGGGACAAAGCTTTCCAGGATACAGCAGGCTGAGGGTTCCATTTGAAGTCATGGATGAGATAGGGTACGAAGATTGTGATTTTGTGTCGCAGGAGAGAGATTGGGGGTGGTGGAAGAGATTTGCTTCCTGGAATGTTAGCGTGGAACTCCACCTTCCATGCCGTGATCCAATTGACCATTTGCTCTCTCAATGCAACTTTTTGGGTGTGACCTTCAATTGTCAAGGTGACTTGGTTCCTGAGATCCGTCAATGTTTGGTGAATCCGAACCGATTCCACCGTAGCCTGAATGGATCTGAAGACTTTCCAAACTTTAAGATGAAGTGTTTCAGAAACGAACTGACGTCAAAGTACGTCGAGTACATGGGAACGAAGCTGCAGAGGAAGAGGTTCCAGTCTACGTTTAAACCCATCCCGTCAAACTTGCCTAGAAATAGGAGCAAGGAATGCCTTTGGGGCAATCATTCGGCAAAGTTGACGGTGGAGAAATATATGAATGAGCTCGAGTACTACAAGTTTTGCAACGAGTGCTTGGGTTCGTCGCATGACTTGCTTGTGGACTGGAAGAAAATGGCATCGAGCGTGTGCTGCAAAGATGCTCGGGATAATCTGTGTTTTGATATAGTTGAGACTGGTATGAAGTTGCCAAGTAATTATTAATTGCATTTATCTGCCATTGCACTTCATGTTCCAATCAATGAGCATCAGTTTGACGGAAAATCATCAATTATAATCATACATGATCCTAATTGGTACTAATCCACACTGATAAAAACGCATTTTTTGAATTCAAAAAGTGTCATACAACAAAGGCTGGTGATCTCAACCGACTAGCCCTCGGCCGAAAGAAAGGGACGCGGCTTGGAAAGCCTTCGATGCGATGGGAATACCCCGGATTCATAAACCCCTAAGGGCCCTAGGCTGCTGAATTCGGGGGATACATGGGGATACCAAGTTCAGTAGCAGCATCATCAATTGGCACTATTTGGGCACTTGTCATCAATTATCATGAGTTAGCCAATAATCATCAATGATCATCAACCCACCTAATTAATCAGCAAGTGTCATCAATAAGCCAACATAAGCCAACAACCATCAATAATGAATCAGATAGCCCTAAGAAACAATTAGCTGATGCGGTGCGTTAATAATACTTGATTACCATTGGTTAACCCAATGATAAATCATGAGTTATCAATAGTAATCATCAAACACTTTGAACAATTACATTGCTTATCAATCAAAGTGGTAAAGCCAATAGTAAACCATCCCCAAATAGAGGTTTATTCTTGGGTATGCCATTGTTGGCCAATGGTTGGTCAGTGGAATGGATTACCTGCTGTCAGGAGGCTCAGCTGTGGGTGCTTGACCCCGGCTCTTCCAAGTCTCAGGAGTGAGTCGTTGGCGTTGTTGCGCATGTGGGATTTTCTCATACGGCAAAGGAGAAAAACCACGGAAATGGAACAGTTTTTAAAACGGCAGCAAAACTGGGAGAATGTCCTGTGAAAATGTCACATGGCGTTTTGCAATGTTGGATTAGTGGTGGCCGGCTGCCGGTCATGATAGTTCAATAGTTGCACCTGAGGTTCAAGGTCTCAAATTGGGATTTAACTTGACCAGTGTCGAACTGAGACTGCAATTGTCAATGAGGGGTGGTTGTTTTAAAGATGTGTGTTGCCCATTTTTGTGGTGATGGCGATGGTGTCCTTTTATCAACTCTACAAGGTTCTTCTCAGCTAGGTTAACATCCGCAAACAGGCGTTCAAAAAGTTATCTTTCGGGTGCGACAGTAAGGTGTAAGGTGTGGGAAAATTGCTAAAAATGTTAAAAATGCATCAGCGGGCTGCAAACGGACAAGAAAAACAAAAGCAAAGGCAGTTGGTGTTGTGCATGTATTGCATGTGAATTAAATGTGTATGCATATATATATAATATTATATATATACATACATATGTACATATGTGTTTGTGTTTAAAACATATATATATATATATGTGCATAATATGTTTTTTACATACATGCACATGTGTATAGATTCATATATGTATACATTCATATGTGTATACCTACGTGGATACCTTATATATGCATATGCATATATATCTATAAGTAAGCCTGAACAGTGACCTGGGTTTGAACCACCCCTAGCCTAGCCCCAATGCAAAGATCCGCGGGTTGCGATGAAATCATTGGCTCAGGGCCGCTGGAAGGCCATGTCTCACTGCAAGACGCTGTCGGTGTAGGTGTTAAGACAATGATCTCGCCAAGAAGGACCCCCAATCAATGAGCTTGATGTAATTAACTGATTTTTGGGCATGTTTCGGCCTGGGGAAGCTCCAAGTCCTTCAACTTTTAATTCAATCGAGTCGATCTCAAGGAAGCAGTTGTGATGTTGAAAAAAGAATGGTGAATTTGCATAGCTACAGGTTCCGATTTCAGCATGCTAATTGCGAACAGCAATCCTCAATCGTGAAGCCTGGTCTAGAGCAACACCTTGCGATGAAGAAGGCGGCAAAGCATTAATCATGTTCCAGTTTTGTGCTACTTTCAGGACCAAAAAACTTCCGATTTTTTCCACTGATGGCTCTTGAATCTACAAGAATTATGGTCCATACCACCAGATGCCCCGTGAAGAAAGCCCCCAAGTGATAAATCCGGCCTAGTTAGGCCACAGGCACTGCTTGGAACCGGTGGTGAAACACCGGTTTCGCCGTTTCGCCATGGCCGTGACCCAGGGTATCGAAGCTGGCCGGAAACGGCCAGCGCAAGATTTGGGCGAGGCTGGGGAGGACCGTTTTTGTTGTTTTGGTGGATTAGTAACTTGATTAGTACGGATTAGGCATCTTTTTGTAGGCAATCCTTGTGTTTTTTTGGGTTTTGTGACGTCTATCATGAGGGATGCCCATGAGCTGATACAGATGTGCTCGTGGATTTGCTCTTGATTCTTGAACATTGGTATGTACAGGGATTTGTGTCCAGAGATGATCATTTTAGCCAAGCATCCCAATTTTTGGCGACTCACCCTTCTCGCACCTTTCTGATCCTATGTTGAAGATTCAGATTCCCAGTCTCCCATCCAAGAAGTAACAAAGAACATCATTTACGAAAGTGGTTCCAACCACGCTAGTGACACTACTGAAGTTGATTTTCCTGAGTGAAGTCCTACCTGGAAGCCCTTACCTTGGCATGGGGAGCTTCAATGCTGGCTGTTGGGCCTTGTAGCTACTTGGAGATGGGGTTCCAGAACCCCCCTCAACTCCCGCCTCCAGTTGTGGGCCTGGGGGTAGTTATGGCATATTTGGCATACTACATAATATAAATTATAATATAATATATTTATATAGTTTTTCTTATTATTTTATATAATATGTACTGTATATATATATATGTGATGTATATTTATATGTGTATGTGTGTATATATATACAATCTTATTTATGAGTAGGATCGTATCATTGCAAGAAGGCTCTCAGCCATACACTCGATCTGACTTTTCGCGGGGAAGAATGAGCAACGGCCCCGGCCCCTCCAGCTGGGCATGTGTTTTTCCCAAACGACAAACAGCTGTGGGATGGATATCATTGCCCCCCAAAGGTCAGGTCGAAGAATCGGTTCCAATCAGTTCCACTCCAAATGTTGATATCATATGAATTTTCATATGATATCCATCCTAGTTGTTGCTTGATGTTGCTTGATGCTGGTTGTATCTCCAGATTTGGGATGATTTGGGATGATCATCACACCCCGCAGGTGGTCTCTAAAAGACTCCGCAGCGCTCACAAGTCTCTGCTGTCGGCCGTGGTCGACCGGGATGGCTTTTCAGCGAAGACAGGTGGACCAACTCTGCCTGTGGGGACAGAAATGTGAGCAGAACCAGTAAAGTATATGCGCGTAGTTTTATAATTGTTTGATACATATACATACACATGCAATTTGTAGACGAACCAGTTTCTGTCCACCAAGCACCAAGTTGAAATGCCCCATATCTAGGTCTCGAACATGGACATCGAAGGGACGGCTCATGGTTTCAAGTGGTTGTCCATTTTTTGTTTCAACGGTCCAATGAGAACAGCATACAGTGGATAAACGGCATAAACATTGGGATGACTCTCTTAAGCAACAGGTTAAGTAGGCATCCACTTGCACATGTCTATGACTCCATCCAGCATCAACACGGGTTGCACCTTGGCAGACTGCTCGGGCACCTGGATGAAACCTCCATTGGCGAATCTCGTTTTGTTTAATATATCCACCAATAGACCCAATCCATTCCAATGCTACATAATGCTATAGTGGTTCTACTCTTTCTTGGTGGCGAATAGATTTAAGATAGAAAGTTTGTTGGATACATCTTTTTACCGCTCGGTTACATCCCTCATTCAATGATCATCCAGCAATAGGCTTAATAATCACATGTTGATCCCATGTAGCCATTTGTACATATAAAATCATATCAACTTCGAGATCCCTTGTGTAGATTTGTTTCGTGAGTCCGAATCCAACCCCACATCCATGGAGTCGGGCGTCCCATGCCAGGTGACTTTCCCGTCACCGCCTGGCCGGGCCCCCTGCGCCTGCTCTCCCTCCGCGCGGCGCGGGCGGAGTCGGAGGCCGAGGCCGTGGCGGCCGTGGCCAGCCCGGAGCCGGAGACCGTGGCGAATGCCCTGCTGCACCTTGGTGGGGTCTGAGGAACTGGATCAAAGAGAGGATGGGGAGGAGCTGAGGATGTGGTCTGGTTCATATTCATACCGTGTCCCACTTAAGGGGATGAAAAGGATTTTTGTAAGCTCCTGGTTCATGGTGGTTAATGACACCAAAGGGATTTATGTGTCTTCGTCCAGTGGGGACCAGAGATTTGGATTTGGGTAGAACCATGGAAATTCGCTCACACGCGTGGATTCTGGATGGGTTTAGGTGGAAACACCATTGGGAAGGACAGGTTGCCTCAAGTGGTCACTACCCGATGGGGTTTGCTATGATCTGGTGATTTGCTGGTGCTAATTCAAGGTGTCACACCATCAAAACTATTGCAGAACAAGTATTTGCTTTGAACCTTCTGCGATTGAGAAATATTGAGAAGCCTTTGCCTATGAACAATATCATAACATCATGGGTCTGCAGCCTCCATGGCATCCAAGGCGGCCACTGCCGCCTGCTCCCAGTGGACGGTCGGAGATTCGAATTACTCCTGGCCCATTGCTATGGAAGCCATGCTTCAAACGGACGGGCTTCATCTACAAGGACAGCATTGTTGAGGTTAGTTTTTTGAAAAACCCAACATTGATTTTGGAGTACAAATTGCATTAGCCCATACCCATCTGAGCTGTGTACAGACGCACCTGGAGATTGGGACAATTCATCTCAGCCAGATTGTGATGCACCCCTACCCTATTGGATGTGCCATTTCCAACAGTGAACTGAAAACATGTTTGCAAGCTCCATCTCCAAGTTCTGTGTCGTATCTCAAGTTCGAGGTGTGCACCGCATGCCTAGCACCCCAAAACCCTTAAGTAAGTAAGTAAGAAAGCAAAGCTGCCATTAAAGGACCGGAAATTCCTTGAACCACGGCCGCGATACATGGGCTATGCCGAATATGCGAGTGACTTGGCTTTGTTTCGGGATGGAAAATGTTCCTTTTCTGTGGGCATCGTAACTCTAAGCAACAACTCTGGACGTTAGCACCGCCAAGCTAAGCATCCCACTGCAGGTTGGGTTGCTGCTGCGGTGCCGGAGCAAGAGCTCCGCCCAAGTCCCATGGAGACCTCGGCTGCGGAGACAGGGCTGAGTGGCTTGGAACTGCTGAGGCTGCTGAGCAAGCTGAAACTCTGCAGCAAGTGGGGTGACAGCTGGGGTGCTGAAAATGATGGGGAAGATTGGAACCCAAGAAACATGGCCTTCAACATATGGGTTATGTACTGATAATATATTTTTATATTTTTATACATGTTGATTACCATAGGACAGAACGGGATCTTACCAAGGGTACTGTGGATATTTCCTGCCCGCTGGTTTTGCATTTGGTTGTTTTGCCCTTCAACTCTTCCATGTTTATTAGTTGATTATTAGTTTCAAACAGTGTTTAGTCTTGTTTTTGGATTGGGGTCCCCCCCATTTAATTCCCCCAGTGCTGAGTGAAGAATTCAAACTGCCAAGGAAGGCGCCGAAGAAGGGAGTGCCGCAGATCACCCCTGAGGACTCCGTTGTGGGAGTTCTGGGGCCTGGTCCAGGTGGGAGCAGCTGAAGCTTTGGGTCATTTATCGCGACATCATATGACCTCAACGTGAGTATGTGTATCTGTATATGTATATAATTGCATTATATATATATATATGTATATGCTTTCTCGCCTCATTGGCAATGGCAACAACACTGGCTATGGCGATGAGAGCTTCTCACAGTTTTTCGGGGCCTTTCAATGACCCCTTCCTGTCAGGTGTAACTGGATTGTTTTCGCACGTAAGATGCACTCCACAACAAAATTCGCAATTACAGTTCTGAGCAAGTCTGTGTGTGTGCAATTAAATATATATTTATATATATATATTATATTCAGTATATATCACGATATATGTTTGCAAATGATGATGTATTCAATTCTATGTTGATATTGGGTGGCAAATTGACAATAGCGTGACGGCCCTGAATCCGGCTTGATATTTCTCAGAAACACGTACTGTAGCTGAAATCCTTGTAGCTTGCAGGATGGGATATCGCCATCCTTGGCAACATCAGCTGAAGAATGAACCTACATGGGTCAGCATGCAGTTTCCAATCATGCGCACATACTCCTGAACCGCCACGTACCACTGAACTGAACATCCATATAAACAGGAGTCCGCATTAAGAATGAATGTATAAACCACAAGAATGCGTGGATAGCGACTGATAGTGTTTCATGGTTACAGGGTGTATTGGCTGAAAATGTGAAAGTGTCAGGGCCGCAAGGCAAGAGGGTCATGTGATTGCAATTGGGGTGACTGTCAATATTGGGATCCCAGAATTCGTTGACGGTAAGAATTGCCGAACACTTCATGAAGCCTCTACATAAAATATGCAATACATAATGAAGACAGACTTAAAAGTGTGGTTTCCTGTAGAGATTCCCTCCACCAAACCCAGCTGCTAGTCAAGCCAGGAGAAACAGCTGGCAGAAGATGCACTCTATGGCTCAGGAAGTCCAGATGAGGCGAGACCGAAGTGCCAATTGGGCGGTCTTGGGGCATCCCAGTTTCTGAGTGCATCATCTGCCCGTTTTCTTCCATGGCACCAGGCAGCCCATGCCTACCACAAAGCCAAATCAGATTGGTGGTGTCACATGTTTGAAATGTTCCACCCTGCCTGGGATGATGATACAGCTTGGTAAACTATATCGATATACATGTATATTACGGGAATTGTGTATTCCATGATTCCTGGGGGCTGATATGATTATTTTCTGCCAAAGGGACATCATCTATCGGTGGCTCAAAAACGACTGGCGCAGGTGGTGGCCTCTCGTTTCAGTGTGGAAGTCACCCGAAGGCCGGTGTGGAAAGTATAGCTGCAGGATGTTTGATGAGGGTGAAAGCAAGTAAAAAGACAAATATGTCAAGAGATTGCCTTTTCTATCCTCAAGATTTTCTGTGGATTATTTATCCACGAGTGGATTGCATCCACTTTCTTCGAAGCATCTGCTCCCGCCGTTCTCCCGCGTGCACCCTGCAAAAATATGCAAAAATCAGAAACCGCCAGGCAGATGGAATGCTTGCGACCTGGGGCATGGTTGAACGATGAGGTCATCAATTTCTACTACAAACTGCTGCAGGCCAACTTGCTTCTGATGTCCTAGGGACAACCCAGCAAGCGTAAGCTCTGACCGTACCGAGTAGCCTGTATCTGTCGGCAGGAGCGCGGCAAAGCGGTGGAGGGATCGCCAAAGTGTTGGTTTCCCAATTCCTTTTTTTGGCCCAAGCTCAGTGGCAACAACAAGGACAGGGGCACTCCGGAGGAGTCACCACAGATTGGTTTCTTGGAAATGGTTGATTTGTACTGGTGCCTTGAGCTTAGACTGTTGTAGGATGTTGTAGGGTTGTTTGTTTGAGAGGAAGATGGATAGGAGAATGGGGGAGGAAAAGGGCAAAAGCTGCAAACCTATTTCAACATCTGCCAGTCAGCAAAGCAGGTGCCGCTTGATATTTGCACCTAGTTCCAATGGAATGCAGTGCCTCCAGTGTTTGGCCACATCCACCAGACCTGCCTTTCAGCCAGGAGTATAGCTACAAAGACGTGAGGCGATGGACTGTGAAAGCCAAGATCGACATTTTCCAGTTGGACTATGTGATTTTCCCGATGAACATTGGTGAAACCCACTGGGCCATGGGAGCCATTGACCTCAAAGACAAGGGCTTCCGCTATTTTGACTCAATGATTAGCACCTCGGCCAAAACCATACGATTTTGGGCACAGCAACATGGTCGATATGGGCCATGACTCACTCAATTTTCAGGTTGGTTTTTTACTTTGCCACCCTGCGTTCATGGGAGTTGCTGCCCAAAACTGCCCGCTCGGAACTTCCACGAACAAGGGGGTACGAAAATCCAAGATTCCGTGGCTAGGTCTGGATCAAAGATGCAAAACGATTGGCCCCGTTCAAAAAATGTTTCAATGGTATAATAATTGATTCATAGTAGAAAATGACCGGCCATTGGGTGGGCCCATGGGCCCAACTCTGACCCAGTCACATCTGAGGCAAGCCTCCAGCAAACTTTGTGTCCTTTCTGAGACGCTACGTGGCTGATGAGCACAAAGCAAAGAAGAGCAAAGAACTCTCAGGTCCCTCTGGATGTAGATATTGTGGTAGACTTTGGTAGGCCTTTGTGGGGATAGTTCAGGGGATAGTTGACACGCGTTTCACAGCCCACTTACTGTAGCCTAAAATCAATCGCTAGAGGGACCGTGTCCAGCTGGTGACTCCCCGGCTGTGGTGGTGCAGGGATGGAAGAGTGGGAGCTGCTGGTGCCTGCCAAGATACCGCAACAGAAAAATGGGTGCCTTGTTTGGCATCTAACAGTGGTCCAATGTTGTCTATAGCATTCTATAGCTATATGTTTTGGATGATTGGATATTGCGACACTTCGGTTCAGTTTGAAGTTGTGAGGACTCAGGGGCTGCAGCTTGTCATGAGCAGTTGGTCTTTCAAGCATTTATGCCGTTTGCAGGTCGTTTGTTTAATCTTGTTCTGTGGTACGTTTTGTGTTGCGCTTGGTGCAGCCAGGTATGACTGCGGTGTTTTCACCTGCTTCTTTGCTGATTGCTTCTCTGCCGGGAAAGCTTTGACCTTTGAGCAAGAGGATATGCCGACCCTACGGATGAGGAGTGCTGGTAGGCTGTTCCTGCCAGGCTCACTCACCCCAATGTTCACCCTGCAGTGGGTCTTATCCACCTCTCCATGGCCGCATATCATTGACAGGATCGCCGCACGTGTCTTGAAAGCCGATGAGAAATTTGATCCCATCCCTTGAAGGACGTCTGGGGGCCAGGGTGGTGGTATTGCTGCTGGTGATTTGTGTAAAATATTGTATATAAACTATTCTAGTTTGCCAGGGTAAGTATGGCTGATGCGGGAAAATTGTTTTTTTTTGGTTGGATGGTCACTGGTCTGCAAATATGGCACAAAGTTCAATGACACATCAAGGTACAAACGTTAAATCTGCATACATCTGCATGCCTTGCACTAATCAAACAAGTCAAATTAATCACGCATACTGGCACACGCATACACGTAGATTGCACCGATTTACCTCAGCGCATGTCATGGTGTGTCCTTAAAACGCTGAATGCCTTTGGATGGTTGATGGATGTGATCTCCCCAATGGATGGGTGATGTATTGTTGATGGTACATTGCACTACCCTGTACATCCCACAGATCTCTTGTTCTCATGGGTTGGTAACTATTGGAGAGCTATTGGTGATGAATCGAACGTCACCACCTTTATTCTCGCCGGTTAATATTCCCAGTTACTGATTGCTTAATTCCACTTGTAGCCATTATAGCAAAGACTGTAGAAACTATTATTGATGGTATACCTAAACCATACCCCCATATACCCCCATCATATCCCCGTGTTTCAGTATCTCCCTTCCACTCTCAGTTGAGTCAGTCACTTTGCCTTAGCAGGAGCCCACTGCAGCCTGCAAATTGCGGCATTTGGCCAGGGAAGAAAAGCAGACCAGCCTGCGGTGCTTCCTGTGAGGGTGAGAAAACACCACCAGGTCACTAGGTGGTGCTTGGTTTCGTTAGACAGTGATGTGGAGTTTTCAGGATCTAGGAAAAATTAAGTGCTTTGGCTAGTGATGGATTTCTGCTATTTGCTGAGCAATCTGCCATAGGGTGTTTTTGTACTGTTTTGTGCTCTCTAAAATGGCAGAATATTGGAAACATCCCTCCCTGTGTAAGTCGTTGGTGCACCTGGGTATTGGTTGTGTCCCCTGCGTTGACAGTCTGAATTTGTTAGTTAAATGATGGTCTCGTCTTTGGTGAGAGGAGTTCATTCAGCGCACGGCCTGCGGAGACATTCGCAAGTGACGAAGTCTAGTGGTTTCGCCTCTTCTTGGGATAATCGATCAAAATTGATTATATGACATGTTAAAATCTTGTTGGTCTCCCAAGTTTATCATAATTTTCAGGGTGTTCAGGCTGCCTGCCCAGGAGGGGGTCGATGTCATCCGTGCCAAGTTGCAGAGGTTCCAGGCAGGTCCCTGGATGTGCCCGGTTCATTCTTAGATCCAACTGACAAGTATTCCCTCTCATAGGATTATTGGTGGGGAAATCACCGGGAAATCCTTATTTTGGGGATTTTTGGGGTACTTAGTCAGTCAACACCACCTTGATCATGTTTGTTGGGAGGTATAATAGCCTATTCCCAACTTGCCGTGTCTCATTGACGTTGGTTCACGCCTTGGCTATGCCACCCAGCAGGCACTGGTTGAGAACTCCCAGTCCGTGGAAGGCACGTCCAAACAAAGTGGTTTGGTAGGCAGCAGGGATAAGAGGATAAGCAACAAAGATTAGCATTGAATATAACTGGTGCTTGTGCAAATTTTACGCTTTAAGCATCGCCAATAGGATTGGTATATTGGTGGTCCCCAGTGACTGTCTATATCTGGGAGATTCCGGGAGGTTGATATCATCAACCCTCAATTTTTTGAAGCTGGAAGAGATCATCATCCAGACAGCATTGCTTCCCGTTTGGCTTGAAGGATGTCCCACCAGTATCCACCAGTCACCATCAAAGCTCTTTGATGGTTTCAAGCTTGTTTTTCCATCAATCTTTTGGGATGAGGATCCCCAATTGATCCGAAGATTTTTGGGATGTGGTCAAACCACCAAGCGGAGCCCATGGTTTGTCCCATGGAGTCTGCATTTCGTCTACTGAAAGTGAGGCTTGAGCAAGAAAGAGAAGAAGGCTTTACCGTGAAGAAATGGTTTATGTGGGGATTTCCATACATGAGGGTTCCCCCATAGCTGGGTGATTTACAATGGAAAATCCATCTATAAATGGATGATTTTGGGAGTACCCCCATTTTAGGAAACCGGCCTATTGGTTCACCTGCGGAAGGGTTAACAGATAACCAATAAGGAAAACAGGAGATCTGGGGAGATCGCGGATTCAATGCAACCAGCAACCAGCAAGGGCCTTAGGGACAAGTGGGTGCCCGGGATGGCTATATCTTGCAGAGCAGTGGGGTTCACCACCTTTCACCCCAGGTTCAATTGGAAACCCACCAGTCAGCCAGTCAGACATGCAGTTGGTTAACCGGAGGGTATCGACTGTCTTGGGAACATTGGTCCTGATGCATGAACACTAGAGAAAACAAGTGGATTGATTTGGGTTGACCACCAATCGCTTCGCCATGCAAGGCCAACAAACTTCAAAATATCATCAAATTTGAACTACAACCCCTTTTTTAGCGGAAATACTGTTCAAGTCGATCTTCAAACCGACCAATCAAGATCAATCAAGCCCCAAGAAACCTCAGAGGATATCCCCCATTGGCTGCGCCAGGGAGAAGCTGAAAAGCTGCGGATCGAGCTGCTAGGTCCAGTGGCTTTTGAGATCAAGAGTTTCTGGATAAACTGGGTAAACCTTGGCGAAGTTATGGCTAAACCCATTTAAACCATTTAAACCCAACATTAAACCTCCAATTCTGATGATTTTGGAGGGGTTCTACCACTTCGTTCTCGTGAAACTGCGATGGATTATTCTTAGATTTCCCTCAACTCACCGCATTAAGATTAGTCGTTTATTTTTCATCTTTTGCTATGGGGATATCAAGAAAGAGCAAGCAGCCATTTGGCCATGGCGGCAGGTCAGTTGGTAGCACCTCAAGACGAAGAACGAAGGCTCAGATGTTTGATCCAAGAATTCCCTATTTGTCGGCACCCTTTGGTAACTAAACATAGGTATGGCAAGTAAAGTGGATTTCTTATATACTTACATAGCTATGGCTGCTAGATGGCCCGTGTTTTCTTGATTTTTTTATAAGATGATGATTGACCATAGCTGCCATAGCTATGTTATTTTATCAGGGGGTAACATGGTTGGTGTCATCTTTTCTGTGCTTTTCAGATGATAAAAGAAATCGACAAGTATTGTTGCACAGGTTGGAGAAATCAAGCGTCAAAATGGGTGATCCCTTGCATATGGTTGCAGGATGCTGCAGGACGAGTTCAGGGATTTGTGCGATGAACTGGATCGTTGGGAGACTCAAAGCGCCTCATAACTGTTTGCTGCAACTGTGAGTTTTTCGCCTCTTGTAAAGTGATCCCTTGAAGCTAGTCGCATACGCCTGACTTAATTCTTCTTCCGGGAAATCATAGTTTGTGGACCGTCAAAATTGTGGGGGTTTCAAAAATCCGGCAACTTGAAGTGCCACCAGCCGACCAAGGTAGAATTGCACGAGCAAGGCGGCAGCTTATCGAAAACCGTATCATTGTTTTTTGGGAACATGGTAGATTTCCGTTTGATGTCCTTTCCACAAAATCGGCATCTGAACCAACAGGGGACCGTCATCAACGATTGGGGAGTTGAACATGAGGACCACGTCAGGGAGAAAGTACGTTCGCCAAGTGGGTATGCAGTGGGGACATGTTCCAGCAAGGAATGAAGATCTTGAGAGAGGACTATTGAGTGCATCTGAAACATGATGCCCCCCCAACCGTTGGTTTCCACTATGCGAGGTCATGATGCAAAGAGATGTTGCAACGTATTGTAACACATTGTTATATATATATGTGTGTGTGTGAGATATGTGTTATCGTTTGGAAATATCCAAAAACATGTCATACCATCATCAAAACTTGTAGCATGCCCACATTTGTGCTTATCTGCCCAGGCCAAAAAATCTTGTTGACTATTGTTAGGGGATTACGCCCCCCAGAAAAGGGATGTGATATGATGTGATGACCTGTGCTCCCAAAATACTACCCTCCCTCATTAAACAGGCAATGAGTCTCTAAAGCCCTCGCAGGCTTCGAAGACGGTCGCTCAGCAGCCAGGAGGACCGGCCATGATCCCTGTCAGCTACTTACCCTTAGGCAACTGGGATCAACCAGTGTAGAAATGCCAGGTTTCTTGGTATTTACGAATGGTGCTGAAGGATTGATTGATCCTCAACCTGAGGGTCAGGCTGGTGTGGACCACCAAATGTGAGCCTTTCTTTCGCCCGGGTCGGGATGTGCAATATGACGAAATACCTTGGGTTTGTCCGAAAGGGTGCAAGGTAGAACATGGTATAGCCTAAATCCATTGCTAATCATCGTATTCCCCATCAAAATCATAAAATGGAGTGAGTGGCAATGGTGGTTTGCCATCATTTTAATCCATTCTCAGACACGACTGAGTTTCCTGTGGCGAATCTTCCAGCTCCCGGGCTTCCGAAGGAGGAGCCGGAGAGGTTGCGCAGACGTGACAGCGTCCTTGGATGGCTGCCAGAGCCTAAGGTCGACTGCCCGGGAGACAGCCCCAAGACAGAGAGTTGTCCCACCCAACCCCTGAGTTTCATCTTGACTAAGAACTGGCCATTGGCGCGGGTGGGACACTCAGGGGCCAATGTTGCTTCTTCATCCAGAGTGGAATGGTTCACTGTAACTTAACAGAAAGCCACTGTACTAAGTCCCTTCAAAAAGCGTTGAAACTTCTGACAGAGGACTGCTACGCCCATACTCGCTCAGGGGGCAGGGTTCTCATGACAATTCACCGTGAGGCTTATGCTACCAGTTTCTGTTTGCATGCTGTTGCCGATGCCCCCAAAGTGTTGCCCTCCGTGGGAGTATGACACCTGACAGTGGCAACCCTTTGACTGAGGACGCATTAAGGCACTCTTACATGAACTCTATGGTCATTTGGGCGTGTCCTAAATAGCGTGACACTTTCCTCACCTTCTATCACCTACTACAAATCTAGTTGGTGGTTTCAAAGTTTCAAATATGGACTATTTCCCTGCCTCTGATGATCCCGAATATTCCTGAATGACCAACCTTTTTCAGGGGAAGGCTAAGAAAAAAAATCATCAATCCCTGGCTGCGCCACCCCTTGGTCCCTGAGGCATCACAGCCACAAGGAGCCCGGCTCTCAGCGCCTTGCAAGGACAGGATGAAAAATAAGTGTCCTTCAGAAACTGGAAAAACTTTAGCTTCACACACCAAACAGATCCAAATATATCCTTCTGCCAATCTAACCTGGCAATTTTCAAATCACCCTTCTTAACAGGTAAATGATCTACTGATCATGGGATTTTCACTGGCGATTTTTGTTGCTTGCCAGAGATACCGAACCAAACATTGGCAGGTTTGGCACATGTCGTTTCACCAGCATTCTATGGGGTGAAATCCATTGAAATCCCAGGAACGAATGGTAAATGAAACGGGAGCATGTTTGATGCTACAGTACACCAAACAAAAATCAACTTGTTGCAGGGCGTCGATGGCTATCCAATCTATCCATGGAATGTTTTCAGAATAAAAGCGTTTGACCATGGCATGTCCTTACCAGATGCAATAACGCATGCCCACAATCCCAGCGGCTCAGATAGCTCAGTCGATCATTCTTTCGAGGCCCCTCCTACTATCTACTATTTGGCATGTTTTATTTTCAAGTAGGTTTCCAACAGATAATCCCAAACAACTTCTAGTTCCCGGAGTTACCCCATACTGCTCCCAGGTACAGTACTCCCCATCTCAGCTGGCCCTTTCAGCACGGGGCCGCGCCATGGTTCGGGGCAAGCTCCGGCGCCTGCCCCGGCAACGCGAAGCGCCTCCGGAGCGATGGGAAATGGCCTTCCGACGCTTCGCCAAGGGAGCCGCTTGGAACAAAAAAACATGGGATGATTTTCTTCCTGGGAATGGGTTCATGGTTAAACCATGTTAAACCATCACACCTTTGGGGTAATGGGGGGGTCCCCAATAGCTGGATAGTTTAGTTCATGGAAAACGCCTTGTGAAATGGATGATAACTGGGGTTCATCTTAGATCATCTTGCGTCCGTCCTTGCAAACGGGATGATGATGCACAATGGTTTTCAATATGTCAATAGGGGGGTTGAAAGACCCACGAGCCTATAGTTTTATGGAATGCCGTATGCCCTCTCCAAGTTCACTGATTGGGCGTGCACCTAAAATCGTGCTGCTTGAAAATGTCTATTTGGGATTATTTTGGTAGTCCTTGCGCCTTCATTTGATATCGATGATGTTTCGCAACCGCATCACCCAGGACATGGTCAGACCAGATGCTGCTGGAAGTTTGCCGCTCAGCTGGAACATCACGGTCCCTCATCAGTGGTGTCACAGATGGTCCAGTGAAATCAGAAAGGTTTCATGCGTTTGAATGCCTGTGGATGTTTGTGCTAGGTTTTTTCTGTGGAAAACATCTGGCAAACCAAACATTCTGGCTGGGAAATTCTGATCAAGATCACGTTTCATGTCATTCCATTCCGAAACAATGATTTTCCAGAGTGTTCTTGAAGTGCCAGAGGGTAGCAGGAAAGTTGGGCCCAGTGGATCATATCAATTGGTCAAGTTTCAGATCCGTTGGGAGAAGGTGGGATCCTGGTGCAGTTTCGCATGTTTGTTTGCGCGCGTGAAAGTGCGGAGTTTGGGAAGGTGACAACTTGTCATTGTGTTTATTTGCTAGTCTGCCCTTGGCTGGCATGCCTGCACTTTTCAAAAAGACATGATCAATTCTAGCAAGCCCGAAATAGATTGAACAGTGGGAAACCTGGAAATAAATATTGGATATATGTATATATTTTTTATTTATTTTTGTTTAATTTATTGATTTATCTATTTATTCATTTAATTTATTTATTTACTATATATATATGTGGTGTAATATATGGATGTATGCACATATGTGTATACATGTGCTTGTGTTATATTTAAAAACATCATATATAACACGTTTCTGGCATTTATCTTTTTGGGGGATGGCTATCCCATGCTATCGCCCGACTGGTCAGGTACCACGCGCTGCTGCGCATCGCCGGCCACGTGGAAGTGGACGACGAGTTGGTGAAAGGCTGCTCGAAGGAGCTGGTCCCTTGGATCGCTTGGAAAACCAAGGGGTTTTGATCTGAAAAAGTGTGGAAACCTTGGGGGAAGCTAGTGATTTTATTGTAGGTAACCAGCAAATATTAATGTTAAATATATTTAAATATGGTTAGATAATCACCATTTTGATAGATAGCCAGCTCTTTATGATAGTAGCTAGTAGTAACTTGACAACCTGGTGATTTACCAAGCAAATATGGGCTATTTGAAGAGGGTGTGTATATATATATAAGCGACATTGAGCGACAATATGATTAAATGCGCTTGTTTGAAGAGTATTGCCCCAAGGAGTGGAAATTTGAATGTGGAAATGATGATCAACCTTCAAATTTGCGGATACAGTACCCGATTTCAGACACACCCACGCGGTGGGTAAGTGTCCTGTGGTAAATTGACATACATACATCGAATTCCATTGGTTTGCTAGGAAATTTATTTTCAAGTGGTTGGTTTCCACATCTACGTCAAATTACTGGAGGGTAAGGCTTTAATCTTGTTCCATGAACGGATATATGTTCTTGAATTAGTTATGAACCGTTTAAAATGGACTGGCTTTGAGAATTAGGGCAGCTTGTGGTCAGAGGCTACATAAATGATGGGCTATCAATGTGTACACCGGTACGGAATCACGAGACACATCAAGGACGGAGGGAAAGACATGAAAAAGACATGGTGCCTTCAAAATCTTAAAACGTTTCTTTTCCAGACTAGTGTTTGCAAACATGTTTTTTTCATCAAAGAATCTCCAAGGCCTTGGTTGAGAAGCATCGCAGTTTCGACTGAAACAGTCGCTGGCATCCAAATGTGTAGACCTGAACTGAACAGATTCCCAGCTTCTGCCACACTTCCAATCAACCACCGCTCTTTGCATTTTCCCAGGAAAAGATGAAGATGCTATCCCGTGTCTATGTCTTTGATTTCTTCAAGCTGTACGAAGAAAAAGTACTGAAAGGTCTCTTGACCTGGCAGAATACGCCTAATAGATCCTAATAGGGCTATCGAAGTTGGCGACGACCATCCCAGACGCATAGCCAGAACATGCCAGAACCATCCTGGGGTGAAGGGCAGCAGTTCAAAGAGAAAGAACCAGATTAGGTCCTAGAGAAATTCCACAAACAAAGACATTTTACAATGTCAGTATGTGTCATCGCTGCTGCAAGATCTTGAGGTTATATTCAGTATGTTCTTCAAAAGCCAAGGCTTAGAAGCAGCTTTCCTGAGCCGGGCGCATTTCGGTGCGGCGCAGCTGCGCCATGTGCAGGTGGGTGAAAAACTCGCTAAAACTTCCAACAAGATGATCTAAGCCTAACGCTTTCCTGGTGGCAGGACATGATCAAGGAAGCAGGCTACATCATCACGCCCGAGGATTTCCAGGAACTGCTAGATGAGGCGGCTAGGTATTTGGACATCCCTGAGAAGAAGGGTGCCTCAGCTGCCATCCTTTGGAGACTTCATGGCAACCAGTGAAAGTGGTCGACAAATCCCAGATATGGCGGCTAATATTGCGAATATTGAAGAAGCATGAAGAAACATGAAGAAACATCGAGTAGATGGACTTCAGGTTTGGGACTTTTATGAGATTGGCATAGATTGGATGTCCTTGTGCCACCGGTCTGTTGATGAAATAAAAGAGGGTTGCCAGGGTAAGCCCCCAATTCAAGAATCCGTGAGAAATGGCAGCAAAACTGACCCGACAAAATAGACATCTGTGCTCACCGCTCAGGAATGCCAAAACTTTACTTTGTTAGGAATGCAGATACTGATGCTGAGTATAGAAAAACGGTATAAAACGGTATTCCCATGTATTCCCCCATCTCAATCAACCAGGCATTGCTTCCCTCAATTCTTGGGTAAATAATTAGGTAGGTACGGGTCAAGATTATCTTAAATTGTCACCTCACAAAGTGGATTGACAATTGTTTTGAATGACAATTTTTTTGCTCCCTTTATTTTCCGAATAATGTCAACCCAGGACTGATAAACCTCCAATGTGAAGCGGGGTTCCAATTCTAGCAGCAGGGTTGACGTTGACCAACTATCATGTCCCATCACCTCTGGATGATAACACAATGATATCCCCATGTTTGGCTTTGTTTGGAAAAAGGGGATATCCCCTAATTCCATTGGCTAATCATCATCATTCCTATAAAAATCACCACAACTTCGGGACCAAATCCCCCATTTTCGGACACATTCCATGCCTAGGTGTGGCCAAGACTCTGGATCTCTCGGTGGTGACCTTCATCATGGACGCCCTGGCAGACAGGGAGGGCTTCACCAACTCCCAATTCGAGCGCTGCAAGAAGAGCTTCGAACACTTCGATGTCAACGGTGACGTGGATAGCTGGGGATGCCTGTCCATTGGGAAAGTTAGGAGAAATAAAGGAACTAATGTGGTTGAACTAATGTGGTTGAACCACCCATTATTGTTTTTGCCACATTACTGCTTATGAATCTGGTATGTGTACTGACATGATGCGCGGGTGCTTCACACTTTATCTGAATACTTTCGAGCACTTTTGGATGAGGTAACTTGATCCGGATCAACGCCTAGTTGCCACCGGTTGTTCCCATTGGTCTCTTCTGGGACCCCATCATTGTACTGCTGCAAGGCCAAGTCCCAGTTCACAGGTGTGATTCATGACCACACTTGCCCAGTAACCGCCCCACTTCTCACAGGGTATAGTCCCATTTGTGTACACAGATGGTCCCTGCCAGTAAATGATTATTGATGGATTTGCAGACATGACCTGAAGCAGAATGGGGCATGTCTTGTCCTGGCGTTAGTTTTGCGGCAGGTCACGCCAGTGACACCCTTGCATCATGCTGAGTTCAACCAAGGCAATGGTCGATTGGAGGACAGCTACTTCATGCTTCCGGCAGATGCCGCAGGGTGAAGCCCAAAGCTGACCAACCATCTTCACAAGTCACAGTGTTCGAAGATTGTCTTGATGTGTGGTTCAAACATGCCTCAGGAATCTCTTTTGGTAATCAAGCCTTTGGTGATTATATAAACGTTACACATGACATTGAACGATACGACGATACGTTTAGTGTATCGCAATATCATTTACAAATGATCGATTTTCCAGCTTAAGCCACGTCAGATGACAAGAGGGTTCCATTATTCTAACCACCATTTCAGATGATCTCAATCCAAATATATCCAAATTATGTTCTGTTCATCCACATGTTTTCAGATATGTTCCCAAACAAACAGGTTCGAAGCGTTTTCCCCACCATCCCTATCCTTTTTTTTCGCCAGTTTTTCCCAAAAAATCCAAGAAAATCCATGGCCGTTACGCCAGGACGATGAGCTGATTCCCTTAACGACCTGGTTGGGATTTTGTTCCGAGGACGCCAGCGACCTGGTGCGCCAGGCGCAGGAACTGGTGCGCAGCGCCTTGGTGGGGCAAAGAATAGCCATGGCCATGGCAGATGGAACAATTGATATAATTGATGCAAAAACCATGGCTAAAATGATAAAAGTTCTGTAAAATCTTTAAATTGGCGATGGCGAGAGAGAGAACGAGAGAGAGAGAAAGAAAGAAAGAAAGGGGATGAGATTAGTAAAATACTGCAAAAAGTTGGTGAAATAAACTTCAAGCAAAACTATAGTGACAATGATGCTGACACAATGTCGTGGTTCAATGGCCTTGGACAAGTTATAGTATATCAGGGAATGATCTAAGTAAGGACCTCCCAAAGGGTGAAGATATGCCAGTACCATCATGAGCTGTGAGGCATTGAGTTGCTCCATTCTGTACAATCTATGGGATTTTCATGGATTTTCTGAATGACCTTTTAGTCTTATCGAAATTGCAGATAGGGCCTTCACGGGATTTTTATTGCAGATAGGGCCTGCCAGTTGAAGATCCGATGCAGCGCAGTTCTTTCCAACACTTTTGAAGAACTCAGCAAGGTACAGCCCAGCGAGAGCTCGAGTTGATTCCTGAAGATGGCGATTATCCGCCTCCTGATCTCAGTGCCCAAGAGGCATTGGCCATAGATGGGGAAAACAGACTAACCGTGACTAACCATGAGCATCCATGGGCGCCTTGCCAGGAAGGCAGCTCAAGCTGAACTCAGGTGGTGCATTGGCTGGTCATTTGGATTTTACTGACTTCCTCCAGATGCTGAGGAATCACATGTGCCTGGGACATTAAAACACACGCTTGGGGACAGAGGGCGACAAAAGGTTTTATGCTGATGTGTGCTTTGAGGCTCGTATGAAAGCCGGGCAAGATTCAGTGACATTTCTGTGCATTTCTTGGATTCTGTCCCGCATTGGCGCAGAAATCAGGAACCAGGACTACACTCGAACCGGGCAACTGTTCAAGAAGTTGGACGCTGACAAGGACTGCCTAAAAGACAGTCGGCATTTGCCCACTGAAAAATGTCCCTGCTTGGGTTTGACCCCTCGGATTCAAAAGTAGAGTGTGAAGGTGGTGCCTCTTTCCCAGTTGCTTTTACATTTAGTAATGTTGCGACCTATCTTGACCCAGCGTCGCAAATCATGTGTTAGCCCGCCACTTGCCCGTACGCCAGTTATATAATTGAGCGCAGTCAAAAGACACCAAAAGACCATTCACATAAACTTTTGACACGATCTTAGCAGGAAACAATGCATTGTCAAAGTCTTCAGAAGGAAAGAAATTGAAGTTGACAATTTCAGATACTTTTGGTTGGAAATCGTCGTGTGGCTTATATAATCTTATATAGTAATATCTCAATGATTGGCTTTCAGTCCCATGTTTTGTGTACCCCCCGTGCCGCCAGGACGGTCGTTTGGACATCTTAGAGCTGCGCCATCTCTTCCAACAGCTGCAGTTTGAGCTGCGACCTGAGGCCTTGCGACTGGGCCCAAAATCTGAAAAGGGATGGCGACTGGTCATGTGCGAAAAGGTTGGGAAAATTGATAAAAACGATGCATTTTAAGAAGAAAAGTGGTGATCATCCGGGAAAAATGGTGACTTTATGGATTTTGAGAAAGAAAAATGTGGATGTCAGCATCTACCATGGGGATAGAATGGGTATGATAAGCAATGATGTTAACTGTTTGGTGGTTTCAGAGTTGTTCATTGTTGATGTTCAACCATATTTGGAAGGATAATCCCTAACAACTGGGATTGGTTGAAACCAGCAGCGAAAAATGTTGTAATGAGAGATATTGGAACATCATGGATCCCTACAATGTGGGGATTGATCAAAACCTACAGCTGGCCTATTTGGAGTTCACCAGGGCGCCAGGGCTTCAACATGCAAATGATCAGCATCCCCCTTTGAATCATTCCCAAGGTCCCGTGCTGGATCCGCTCAACCATGGAAATGGCTCTCTGAATGGAGGTTTAAAAAGCTGGGAAAATCATCTGACGAAATGGGAAATGATCCATTGCCGTGTCCGATTACCAGATGGTATAAATAAATATAAATAACAACAATAGTGCCAATGATGGTAAAATGATGATTCCAATGATGGTAAAATAATGATAGTATACATATGTATACATAATCACAACAAAAATATATAGAATAATACCAATCATGAAAACGATAATTATGATTATATATATATATGTCATTCTCAGTATATACTATTATTATTGCTAATTACTACTATATACCTTACCAGATTGATCCATTTCACCCACCGAGGCTGGAATCCATGGTGAGCCACGAGATTCTCTCGGAGTGGCTAGGCTGTGAGCTGAGGCGGCTGTTTCTTGGGGAATCACCATGGGCAAACCATGGCACAATCGCCACTTACTTAGCAATGACATATAATGACTATTAATTAATGACTAGTTTCACCATTTTTCAATCCACTTACTCAGTTTCAATCAAACTATGGAAAAATGTGGATTTGAAACACCTGACATGATTTGATGAACGCATCTGAATTTCACCGACGAGAAGAATGAAATTGTCAAAGGCAGAGAGAGAGAGAGTGAGAGTGAGAGTGAGGGACAAAAATTGAGATGTCATGTATGTACGGATTTCATTTCCGTGGATTCAAACGGTGATAAGTTAAAGGGGGCCACATATGAAACAACGCTGATTTCCCCCATGGAAAAAAAAAACATGCGTCATCACCTAGCACCAGCGGTCGATCTTTGGGGCCTCAAGGCGATTCTCGTTTCACCAGTTCCGACAAGTTTTGGAATACTTGCGGGATGTGGAAGGTTTCAGCTACTTGGTGGAACCAGCAAGGGAGGTCAATATAAAAAGAGTTGAAGGCAGTTGAAGTGTTTTTAAGGGTCGCTTGGATGTCCTTGGTTGCCAGCTATGTGCAAGCAGGGCGAATTCAAACAAAATGATCGGACAACTTGGGCTAGGAAATGCAGTTTCTACCAAGTGCTGGCAGTGTTTGAAATTTTGCGAGTCTTTTGGATGCATGGTTCAGCAATAAGGGTGTAAGAAGGCTCTAACTCCACAATCTCCATTCAACCAATGGTATGACCAAGCCCTTTGCCCACAAAAAGGGTGATCATGGAAGTTGGCTACAGGACGGGGACCAAGAAATTGCATACATGATCGTATTTGTCCCCTCCAAAATGACCCAAAATGACAACTTTGGAGGGCTGCTCATCGATCAAAATGGGATGTTGACCTCAATTTGCTGCATAGTCACATAGTCTTTATGGGGTGTGGCTAAACCAGCAAGCAGTTGGTCGTTGTTGTTTACATGTGTTTGCCTAATAGTCTCTTGCCCATCAACCATCCTAGAATTGGTTGAAGGGAAAATTCATCCATCCAAGCCCTTGATCCTGGTGGCTGAGAATCCTGACCCACACCTGAACCATAAACCACACCCAATTTCGGAAAAAAGAACCGGATTCCTCAAAAATATCCTGGTTTATGAACCATGTTACAATGTTTCCTTAAGGATTTGCCGATCCATCCATTGAAACCAGGTAAATCCTACTTCGACGATGCCATCGGCTCCTTTTGGCACTTCGATGTGAAGCATCAAGGACTTCTCTCCACACGACGGACGCAGAAGGCCATCCAGTGGATTGGATCCTCGTCGATACAACTGGGGGTGCAGTTCCAGTTGTGGGTTATATATGGTTATATAACCATAGTTGTAGGGGTTATATCTCAACTTATGGAGGCTTTTATATGTTTTTATTATAGTCAATACTCATTAAGGACCCGAGTTGGAGTCCCGATGTGCAACTTTACTGCAAATTGGCCAACAAAATTGGGGGTTGAACCACCCAACTAGCCGAAACATGATCAGTAAGTTGACATACAACAAAACCTCAGAGTTTCCATAGATCACTATAGATCATGTAGAATGATGGTCAGCCTGGGAATGGGGGAAGGCTTCACATGCCAAAACAGATTCTTCTCGCAGCACTTTCGGGATGTAGTCTTGACCTGTGGCCATGTTGAACCTTGGGAATGCTGAGTAAATATATGATACATAGGTATATGTGTATGTGTATGTGTATATATATATACACGTGTGTGCGTGTGTGTACGATGTGTCGTCGGTCCTTGTGTTGTCAAGGGAATGTCATGTTCAGCTTTCCACCCCAAACAAGCAAAGTCACTGCTGTTGCGCCTGCTGAGAGCCATCGGAAAAGTCTCCCCAAGCTGCTCCTCAGTCCTCCCACCTCGTTACATGAGGTTATGGCTTGGGCATGAGCGTGTTCGGGTCCAAGAGTGACTGGTCGCTCAGCTGAGCCACTGAGCAACTAGAAAAAAGCAACCGATGAGTGGATATATTCCCTAGCCAAGGAAGATTATATACATAATTATACTATATGTCGTATCCCTCTATACGGAATTATACGAATACATAATTGGGAGGTCCAGACATGTTTTCCTGCAATGCCTCTAGTTACTCCAACGAAACAAAAAGGCATTTGGATGTCTTCAAGTCTTGGATCTTCCAAAGTTTTGCTGTTGCACCCCCCGAATTTACAATGGAACCCCGAGACTTGGGATAAGATTGAATTTGCGTGCCATTTTAGGTTTAGGAGGTGCATATCAACTGATCATACTCCCCACTGAAATGAATCAACATTCTATATCTTTCAAACCAGCAGCCTTTCCAAGTGTTGCATTTTGGTGGCACCCAGATTTGCTCATGCGAGGGTTCCATCGAGATGGTTTTCATGATTAGTGGGATGGGATGATTCTCCATTTATATTTACTATTTTGCATATGGGTTAACCCAATCATGTGTGGATTCTATGTATATATATATATATACATGTATGTATATACCGGTGAGTCAGTGAATCCCCCATATTTCTTAATCAAAACCTCAGATGTGATAAATACATACCGAGAGAGAGAGAGAGAGACACACACACACAAACCGATTTTGCTGAATCCTCCAATCTTTGCTGGTTAAATCCATTGAAACCACCCAGCCCTGGGCGAAAGGAAAGAGCGGCTCGTTCGCGGCGTCGTTTCGGAGACGGAGTTCCTACGCCTCTGCCGCGAGCACGAGGCGGGCTCGCTGGGAAATCAGAGGAAAATCATGGGAAAATATGGGGAAATCCAATAAAAATGTGGGTTTAAGGGGGAAATCATCTAGAAATTGATGATGTTCCATTGCCATATGTTTCTTTGGATCCCGTTTCCCTTCCTGCAATTTCCTCTTGAGAAGGGTGTTGATGTGTACCCTGTGCAAAGGAATCTCAATACCTACTACTGTCAGGGACTAGAACAGTCTATACAAATCAGCGTGTGCATTCACGACTAAGCCAGAATGTGTTTCTTTTGTTTTGCTTTTGGATCTTTTGGTGTCATTTTAGATCAGTGATCCAGTACTTATGATATTTTCCATTGCCATGTTTGATTAGCAGAGAGTCAATCATGAAGAAATGGATGTAAATGGCATGCAACTTGAGATACTTGAGGTCCCACTTGCCATTCCATACAATGCTTGGCCATGGAAAATTGCCCCATTGATGGATGATGATCCTGTATTTTCCAGTAAAAAAAATGATGTTCCGGATCGATGATCAGAATGTGACTGGCCATTGCTACAGCAGCTGTATGGAGCCAGGGATGCTTCAATTCAACATCCTTATCAAATGGAGATTAAAGAGTCCATTTACCCTCCTGTAATCAAACGTGGCAATGGACAATCCCCTGAACATGGAGGTTTTAGTGGGAAAAATCATCTATCAATGGGGAATGTTGAATTGCCACGTGTGATTACCGGATGGTGCCCCAAAATGAATGGGTAAAGAAATCATGGAACTAGTGGTGGGGACCTCCCTCCAGTTGCAATGGAAAAATCGCTGGGGAATCACATTGTGAGTTGGGCATTGCAAAACCCATTTGCACTTGTCATCCCATTTTCAGACATGGGAGATCCACAATCATTCAGGCACAGTGGCCCCCAAACGGTTCATACATGTTCATACTGTTTATTCTCCCATTAAATCCCACCTACACATCCCTATACCCCAATTAAAACACTTCCTTATCGTTGTGTTGTCCTTATTGGCGGATGCCCCAGTATACTAAAATCATCTTTATTGAACTAATATATTATGCATTATGATGACATATTTCATTATATCATACCATATTAACCTCAGGCTGGTGGTTTCAAACATTTTTTTCAATAATATATGGGATAATCCTTCCCATTGACCAATATTTTTCAGAGGGGTTGAAACCACCAACCAGACCTGTGTTTTCCCATGAACCCCCCAAGTTCAGCATCAAAAACCGTGGTTTTCTCACATTGCCGAGGACGCAGAGCTGGCCATTTGGCGCACCGTCTACCGGAAGTACGCGGCCAACCATGGCGCCGGTCTGCGCCGGGACAACCTGCAGACGGCCTTGAAGATGGTGAAAGTAGGCTCACTGAGATCATGTTCCGAACGGAAATCATGGGGTTTTCCATGGATTTTCCACATGTTCGTTTACCAGGGTAACCGGCGATGTTGAGTTGACCAATAGTGGTGATAAATTCCAAGAAAGCTTGGAATTTGAGATGATGTAGCCAACAAATACATGATACCAACAAAGATGTCGAGGAGGCGATGGAGAAGAGAACAAAGATGTGGAAATTAAAAACCTAACTTCAGCTCCAACCAAAGAAATGCACATTTTAAGTAAGAAAAAAACATGGGGGATCACAGCAAACAAGTCCATTAATGCGGATATCTTTCAATCAATGGGGGCAACCTCCAACATTTGAATGGTTTCAATGGATTTCAAGCCCTCCACAAGTGATTTTTCTGCTTGTCATGCTGGATCCAAACAACCTTGGGGAAGCCACTGGCCCTTGCCGCGGTCAGGATATGAGTCCCTCTACCCAGGTTGGTTGAAGAAGCAGGTGGGAAGCCTATTTCCTTGTCATGCGAATATCACTTATGGTCAGATGTTGGCGAACAGGTGAGCAGCACCAACCGGAATCGCGATTGCTGGGATGATTTGCAAACTTTGCAGCATGTCATGGCAGCGATCTCAATCTCAGCTCTTGGCAAGGCGACCTTGGGAAAGGAGTTGGACTTTGAGGAGTATTGCAAGGTCCTCCAAGACTTTCGGTACATGTACCGCGACATCTACAGGAGCCAGTCAGCTGGGCTTAAAAGTTTGATGAAGACGAGTTGTCATGCATTTGCAAAAGGGAAACTGTAGAGGGATACTGTAGGTTTGCTGCTAAATATATCAGTGAAAGCAGAAGCTGGTAATTGCCGGCAAAACTTCTCTTGAAACATGTGTGCATGTGGCATGTGTTTGATATTGTTTGATATGTTTTATATGGAGAGATGTGGTGATATGTTTCAGTTTTTGTTAGCTCTACACAGGTATATATGTCCATGATATTCCATGATGATATGCTGCAATTGCATTTGCAAGCTTCAGACTTTGTTTCTGAATGAAATGAATGTTGCACAAATCCAGGTCTCTTTTGTTGGGTTTGGGGGCCATCTTTCTGAAACCCTCAAGACATATCCAGTTTTGTTGCCTTGTTGGTGGTATCAGATTACTTCCAGCTATTTCTGCTTTGGGGTTGGATCTCCAAAAGTTTGTTCGCTCCATACATTGCATCCCCCAGTTTTGGTCCGTGAAGCCCTTGGCACTGCCTGTTAGAGAATTTAGAGAAAGCACAAGGAGAAGAAGTTCACCCACCAAGTCACTTGATGGTCGCTGCCAGGAGCAATTTCTGTTTCACACCCAGAGAGGTGAAAGCTTATGAAGCCGCCTGTTCGCCGTTTTGACCTGGGCGATGGCTCAACCATTGAGGATGACCCCTAGAGCCAGTGGTTCAACAAGTTTAACAAACAGGTACGGTATAAGTGCTACAAACGGATACAAATGGTTGGCATTTTGCCGCTTGCTTCGCCAGAATCATCCAGACGATTTGGACGCTGTTTTGGAGCACCAGCTGACAATTTTGGATGGTACACCACCACCAATAACCACCGTTGGGTTCCCAGCCAGGGCCTGTGGCGGTAACTTAATGGCAGGGGTTCCAGGGTTCTGGTCCGGCTGTTCGGAACTAGAACTTGGCGTTTTGGCAATGCACCTGATAGAGTACGGCTTCAAATGATTGGGCCATCAACCTTGCAATGGAAAGAGTGAACATCCCAACATTGCAATGGTCCCGTTGGCATCCGTTGGCCACGATTCTCCACGCCCACGACTGCCAGCGATTACCCCCATTTGTTATCAGCAATGTCCAGCAGATATCCCCTGAGGAAAGTTTCAAAAAGTATGGCCTGGACAGTGCGGGACGCTTGCCTCAAAGCAAGCTGGCAGATCTCTTCGAGTCGATCTATCCAGACCCTCGGCCATGACAGATCCATACAGATCCCTGGGCAGCGAAAAGTACCAAAAGATGGGCTCTGACTAGATATATAAAATATGATAAAATGATACGTATACCGTATACATGTTGCAAGTGCCCACAAGTAGGGGATACTGCGGGTTGGTTTGGGGTTGTGCCCATCCAGAAAAGTGAAAAGACCATAAAAGTATCACAAACAAAGTATCATAAAAGGGGCCCCGCAGTTTCAGCGCTTTTGAGCCTAAACCCGGCCCATCCAGTGGTGGAGTGAGTGTTAGAGGGCTCTTCCACGTCCCCCAGTGTTCGTCCCCAGAGGCTTTGAAGTGGGATCCTACACTGAAAAACGCCCTGCGGCTACTTGGCTTTCCCGGACAGGCTGAGAGAATTATCAGGATATCAACAAGCATGCAGATATCATATTCATATATATATATATACATATCCTTTGGTTATTTGACGTGGCTATGGAGAACTAAATCATCATAAATCATCTGTAAATAGGCCCCTGTCCATAGCTATGTTAAATAACCGGGGGGGTGTACCTACATAAAGACCATGCATGCGTGCGTGCGTACGTACGTACGTACATACGTACGTATGTACGTACATATGTTCGAGAGATGTATATATATATATACTGATACATGCATGTAGATGCATGGGCTCAATGGCGGGTTCTTTTCCATCTGTTTTTGGGCCGAAAGACCGAATGACCAGTATCCTTCCAGCTAAGGGGAGGTGAGGAAGCTATCAATCAGATAAAAATTCAGTGATGCTCTCAGAATGTATGGATACAAATGCATCCTAGACAAAGGGCGACACGGTAACCCACAACTCTGGGACACATCACGTAAGTCAACGTGCGGCTGAAAGACTACAACCTGGGAAGATTATCACCCTGTAATGATATCGGAAATTTGCCAGGGGCGGATGCCATGTTCAATAGGTACGTTAACTGTTGGAATGGGCATTTCAGAATACCCGGAATCAAACGTAACAGAAACTCAGGCAATCCATTCGGAAGCAGGACGTGCCTGGGCGATGACTTTTTTGCGGCTGATTTGGGTCTTGGTCAAGTTTGGGCAGCAAAAAATGGAGAGAGAGAGAGAGAGCTAAAACGATTCAATGTCTGATTTGAAATGTGAGCTGTATAGATGTCATATGGTTTTATATGATTTAATTATAGTGCCTTGAAGTCTGACCAATACCCACGTCTACCTATCGCTGCAATTTGGACGTCACTTCTCCAGTTCCACAAGCAGGACCCGTATCGGTGCAATTTCTGCATCGTCTCATGCCGAATTGCATCAGGAAGCCTGCTACACCTGCCAGTTGTTGCACCTACAGCATCTAATGTGGTAAAGCCAAGTAAAAACTATCCCCGATATGACCATAAATCGGTGGCATTCACAGTCCCAAATATTCGAGTTGTTTTTGACTTTGCCACTTTGCTGTAAATCATTTCATCAGAAATCAATAGGCCAAATGAGAGAACCATGTCCACCAGCCATTGTACTTGGTGGTGCAGTTGGGGATTGTCTTGACGGGTATAATGGGTATACAATAGTCATGTCTTTGCCTCCAAAAGTTGTGATATGGGGCCCCCCTGACTATGGTTATATTATCATATATCCACTTATAACTCAAACCCCAACCAATTCAATCATCAAAACATATCAAAACTATGGTTGTTTGTAGATGTTCCCTTAAACCCAACCCACTAAAAGCACCAGGCCCAAGCAAAGTTTGTGGACTTCCCGGCCTTCCTCCGTGCACTGCGCGCCTTTGAAGACGCTGAAGCGGAGCTGTTGGATCAGGATGCGCTGGGCTAAACCGTAGAAGATATCAGGAGATCTTAGGATCGGGCCATTCATATTCCAGTGAAATCCATATGCGTCAACATATGTCAACATCCACTAGTATCCAAAACAATGTAACAATGTCCATTGATGATTTCCTGATATTCCCATATATTTCCTGTAAAGCCCTGAGATCCATGACATTCCATATGAAATGATATAGATTCATATAAGTTATATGATTCTTTTTAAGCCTTGGATGTTGATATCAGAGGCGATGGTGCGGTGCCACTTGGACCGCCAGGATGCAGCCAATGTGGCCAAGAGCTTTGGCTTGTCGCCGGGCGAGGCGGCTCAATGATGAATGTTGAGTTTACCACGGTGTCCTGGACATGTGCCTATGCTTCAAAGATCTTTGGAATCATGTGCTCCTCATAGATATATGTGTTAATGTGCAAGATATATCAAGATATGACTATGTCGATGAGAACGAACAGGCGGATGACTTCATGGATGCCTTCCACCTCTGTCGCTGTGGAGGGGCCGCAGGCGTCAACGCCATTCCCAGTGCAACGATGAGAAAGATCTTGCCCCTTGCCGGGTGTTTGGTTACCTGGTTACCCCATGTTGCATCAGAACCTGCGAAGATGATAATCCGAGGCCGAACCCCCTTCAAGTGGTTGTTGAATTTCACGTTAATCCAGATACGCGAGAGCTATGCTAGAGCTGTACGTGCGCACTGTGATCTAATTGAGGAACATGTCAAAGATGCTTGGTGCTTTGAGAAATATATAGGCACGATCATGACACGGAGGCTAAAGTGTCAATGAATGAGTTGAAGGTTTTCCAGGAGAAGTGCTAGGAACACACAATACTACGCACTCATACTTCTGACAAAACGATGCCATTTATCAACGTCATTTAACTAGGGAACGGTCGCTCAACTTCAATCATGACAGCTTTGTGACATGCCGAAATCATCTTAAATGATTTGTTCGAGCCCACAAGCATTGCAAACGTGAGTGGCAAGCGCTCCACTGGACGCAGTGCAGCACTGATACTCTATTCCATACTCTATTTAATGATACAGGTTTCTTATCCAAAGGCTAGCATTTGTCAAAGTTGAAGTTCAAAGGTTGCACCTTTGAGATGTGGAAACTCCAGGTACTGTGAGGCTGCCCAGGGTCCTATGACCTTCCAGCAGGAGCCATGTCAGGTTGGAATGCCTTACTTTTTGCCTCATACGTGTGATGGTGATGGTGGTGATGATGATGATGATGATGGTGATGATGATGATGATGATGATATCATAATTCGCAGGATTGTCAACCATCTTATCAAACTTAGCTTCAGTTCAGACTGTCGGAATCTGACCGGAACTGATCTATTATAGTAATCTCATGCCCTTCACCTTTAGATCGTGCAACAAACTAAAGTATTGTTCCGCTTACAATGGTCTGGTATATTTACATATCCATCCGTATCTATCTCATTTATATAATCTAATCAAATCCAAGTTCATATAGTCTTATCTTATCCTATCCTATCCTACGATTTACCTATCTATCCATCCATCTATCTATTTATCTATCTATCTGTGTGTTTGCACGTTTACCTGTATCATCCTGTATGTATAAATATATATATATATATGTAATTATATATATATGTGTGTGTGTGTGTGGTTGTGTGTGTGTGCGCAGTGGTACTCTCTAAATGTACATTGATTTATCTATGTTTGATATGTGATATCAGAATAATTCAGAATACATCAAAAATCGGCTCCAAAAATCTCCATCTTAACCCGGGGATTCGAGTGGGCTTCCCCCGCCGGAAGGAGACGGGGCTCTACCAGATCTTTCAGCAGCTCTTGGGGCCTCCAGGCCCCTTGCGCCTGGAGAATTTTCTGCACCATGTGCGGCGGCTGCGGGAGGTGCAAGGGACTGGTTGGATGGAAACGCTAAGAGTGATGGAAAATGATGGAAATGTATGGTAAAATGATGGAAAATGATGCAAAATGATTGCTGAAACATGGAAAAATTGGAGCTCAACCTCAAGGAAAGGTGAGAACGTGATGGAAATGATTGAAAATTACAAAGTGAGTGTAACAAAAATGCCATATGGACGGCAGATCAGAAAATATTGTGCATTGTTTGGTGTCGCACTGCTTAAATGCAATTTGTTGATACCACTCCCAAAGGCCATCTCTGAGTCTACCCATGTTCAATTTCAGGAGCTGTATCCTCAGTTACTAACTTCTTAAGAGCTGTCAGAATTCTACCATCAAGATAGGAGGATGCCATTTTTTGTCAATCATTGCTGGTGATTGCTGGTGCATTTTTCTTACAGTATACCTATCATATAGTACATGACCATCAACATTCTTTTGGTACCCCCACCCTGATGTATCCCCATCAGTTGTCATGTTCCTCCGAAGGTCCCAGAAGCCGATCTTGCGGCGGGGAAGTACCGGAAGGTGGAGCAACATGTAGCACCTCCTCCCCCGAGCGATGGATGAGCCAAGGGCAAACTGTTAAGGTTACATCCATATGGAGGTTTCCTAAAATGGGGATACCCCGAAGTCATCCTAAATTAGACCATTTTAGCATCAAAACCCATAGTTTTTTAGGATCCCCCATTTTAAGAAACCCCCATAATTTAGGCCCATAGATCAAGGCCAAATATGTGGCGACGTCTTTGTTTGCAAAGGGCTGTTCTTTTTTGGCTTGTCCAAAACAACCCGCCTTAGAACCCTCCCAGTGGCAGGATGGCATATGGAATTTGAGCTGTTCAAAACATCGCCTTTATTAGTTGGTGCAAACAGTTGTCAATTTTACGAAACGCTTATCGAAAATGTACGGAAAAATATATGTGTGTGTGGTATGCCGCGGGAGGTTTGCCACGATACAAACCATTAGAAATAAACAACAGGGGAGTAGTAGTCAACAATGAAATGATAAACACAGTTTATCGTGAAACCACCAATCCCCATGTTCTACGGAACTAATGTAGGATGGAAGGCCCACGCTCATCACAATGCAACACTAGATGTGAATGTTAAAGTCAAATAGTCACTGCAGATCACTGCAGCCACCCAAAACTGCAGTTTGCCGCCCAGAGTAGTTGTCAAATACCTGCTGTAGCCATCAAGAAGATGGTTTCTGAGTAGGGGTTTCAAAGCAAAACTCCTCCAAAAGGTGAGGTCCAGGGTTTTCCCAGTGCCGCACTGCGGAACTGCTATGAACTGCTTCTCAGTTGGAATTTTTGTTGGTTCCCAATGTTTGGATGAACTGATACAGAAGAAACCTTTCTCAGGTGGGTTGAGTCATTGAGTGGATCAAAGCACCAACCTGTCAGATCCTGTCTGCGGCCGAGAGGGGTAAGTCGCTAGGGACCTACCGGGTTTCACTTTGGGCCAATGGCCACTCGGTACCAAGAAGGTGCCTTGAACCCGGTCGCATCATCGTCAGGGCAAAATGTCCCATGGTTGGCAGCCATTTTCTATCCCTACCTGGGATGATGATCCACAATTGACTATCTACTATTTCTAGGGGCCTCAAACCCGCAATCAGATCAAATAGTTGACATGATTCTTGCTACGTTCAGATGGAGCTTAGATTGACTCTAGGTGCATCGCTGTTAAAAGTGAGATATGGAGAACAGCTGAGTACGGAATCTATTGGGATGTATTGAGGCTATGGGGAAAACTGTTTGTATCACTCTTTTCGCTCTTCATCGCGCATCTCTGTATGCCTCAGCCCTGTTTAGGGTTAGCTTGCCAGGAAACCCAAGAGGCTGCCATGCCACATGCTAGTGAGTTCATGAATATCTCAGTTCCATTCATGATGAATTTTCGACCCCAGCATGGTACGCACTGATGACCTGAGGCCACAAGCACAGCTGCAGGTGCTGGTGGCTATTTGCTCCCAGATTTGGTTGGGAACATATGTTAAAACCTGCGTTCCGGGAAAGGTGTTCCATCAAATCAATCCATTCATCTACAGGTTTTCTTCTCCATCCTTTTCCCAGATAAATGTTACCATTTTGGTCAACCCTTCCGGTGCAGTGATGACCACCATGATGACTGTGGCCAGCAGGTGGATGTGAATGCACCACTGCGAGAATGGAATGCCAGGAGTCCCAAAACAGGCTCCAGGTTGATAAAGGGCTCAAATTTGGAATGGAATCTGGTTGCCCTGGTTCCAGGATTCAAGATTTATCACGAAGAAGATAGTTTTTTAAGGTAGCTAAAATGCAAGTTTCCAGTATGCATACAAATTTATATCCGCATTTCAGCTGGTGATTGATACCCCTTCCAGTCTTAGACTGACACTTTGCTTGATGTCAATATCTCATATTATATCCCCATGCTTGGTTGGTAAAACATCGGCTCTTGCTTTTGGCTACCCTCTGGGTATCAAACCTGGAGTGCTGGGAAATCCCACGTTTGTAGAGTTGATCCCAGCTGTAAACCCCTAATTTATAATCATTTACAGAGGATGTCCAAGTGCGGGTATACCATACCATCCCATACATCATACATCATATATCATGCATACTACCATACCATACATCATACATCATATATCATGCATACTACCATACCATACATCATACCTGCATCATACATGCATCATACATACACCATACATACATCATACATACCATACATACCATCCATACCTTACATACCATACATACCATCCATACCTTACATACCATACATACCATCCATACCTTACATACCTTACACACCTTACATACCTGACATACCTTACCTACCTTACACACTTTACACACATTACACATACACACATACCGACATACATACAAACATACATGCATGGTCCATGGATTATCCATTCATTATCTATGTTTATATATATATATAGTTATTTATATATATATATATACGTGTGTGTGTGTTATTCCCAATAAATTGCTGAGAAAGTGGGAAGAAAATGGGCGCAGGTCATCCCACTCGGTTCCGTTCCAACCGGTGGGTGACGGCCCAGGTGACGGACTCCTTCCAGGTCAAGCCGTTGCCACGGATGGAAGCCCGAGAGCTCAGCAGTCTCCGTGTTAATGTGGGTAAAACAATAAATGTTTACCATCCTCCAAATGTAATAAAAACATTAACTATGGTTAATTTATGGTAATAAGATTTGAAATAAAATGTTCAACCAGATTAATTATTGTTAATTTATGGTTATAATAAACTAACCTCCAAATCACCATTTTTATAGGTGGTATGTTTACGATCAACTCCCACCATTTCCCCTGCTTCTGGAAGAGTTCGACGGGATCATTATCATCATGATCATCAACATCATCAGCATCACCACCATCATCATCATCATCATCATCGGTATGATCATCGTCTTCTTCTAACAGAATCCTTGAAAATCTGTTTAAAGTACACCGTTCCAGCACTTTTGGGTTGCACTAACAGTTCAAACAGAATCCTAACAAACCGTTGCAAGATGCACAGTTCCAGCAATCTTGTTAGAACGACCGAACAGCTCTACCAGAATCCTAGCAAATTGCTGCAAAATGCACCCACCCCACCCCACCTTAAACCATGATAATTTCATCATCTTGGCCGCAGCATCAAAGTCTTGCGCAAGGTCGAATGAGCGTTATCATCGCCCCATGCCACCCCACCGCACTGATGCAGCATCAAAGTCTTGTGCAAAGTCGGGCCACCCCACCCCATGTGAGCGTAGCATCAACATGCATCAACATCTTGCGCAAGGTCGAAGGAACGTTAACATCCCCACTCCATTCCACCCCACCCCATCCTATCCCATGTAAACTGTGGGGCAAATGGTGGGCGTTGCGTCTATGTTTACCATTCCCAGTCATGGGTGGTTTATGGCATTGTTTTACCCACATTGCTTTAGGCTTGGGAAAATTGTAGCACTTTGATGGAATTAGAGCAAGTTTATATATATGTATACACACATAAATGGATGTAACTTTCCCAGGTTGGTCATGTTGAGCATCAAACCATGCAATCGATTTTGAGTTTCCCCATTTTGAGGGACAAACCAGGCTAGAAATTTGAGCGTCAAAGCATCTAATCTGGTTTTGCGGTTCAAAATGGTTCAGACATGTTCCACTTGCCACTCCTATTTGTAAAGATGATCCACAATTTGGATCCAGACCTGGTCACTATACATCAGCCCCTACAGCTGCAACATCGCTCACCTTGAAAAGTCATTACAGCATGGCATCACGTGGGCGTTGCGTCCGCAAATATACATGTAAAACATGTTTAAATTATTCTGGTGAGTAAACCCAGCAACCAACCATTGGGGCCAAGCATCAACCCAATTATAAATTTATAAACATATATATATGTGTGTGTGTCTACATCAATCCGCATAAATCCATCTAAACTCATAGAAAGGTAGCATGTCTCCTTGGGTTTTCCCAGCAGTTTTCGGAGCATTTCCCCATCACCGAAGCCAGGCTGCAGCCGTGAATCGCTTGGCCAGTGATGCCCGGATGTTGTCGGAAGCCAGTGAACGTGTGACCTGGTGGCATAAAAACAGCTGCCTTGCAAGCGGGGCCCAAAAAACCACAAGAGATGGACCGCGGGGTTTGTTGATCTTCCCAATTAGGCTATTGGATGTTCCTAATGGTGGAGAATCATGGTAAATCCTTGTTTGATTACTATCAAAAGATGATACAAAAAAATAAGAATGGAGGTCATGTTCCAGATTCAAACTGTCTGAATCTTTGGCGGCTAGTGGAACCCCATTTGGATGGAACATCAATGCTATCGCTACGAATGAATACCACAAGCCCAAATGCATTTTCTAGCAACAGCTGGTGCAGTCCAAGCAGCACATCAAGCACGGCCGAAAGACACCTATTACTCCCGGCAGTCATTTTATTTCAAGTGCAAGCTCCTGGGATTCGAAGAACAAATTGAAAGTGTTCAGTAGAGTCCTTTGTTGGTTGGTGCGTGAATGAAAGATGAAAGATACGGTCGTTGCCTTTGACTGAACCTGGTTTATTCGAATCCATGTTAGCCTGATTTTCTCAAGTGTTACGTCAATAATTCACATGTTCGCTGTCATGTCATGTCTATCGATCTGCCTATGCTATCTTGGCTTGTATTGTCTTATCTTTCCAAGTATTCATTATCTATCTAGTTCTAAACCCAGTTCTAAATAACTCTATTACATCCATTCTATCTATATGTCTAACTATTCTATCCAATCTATCCCATCTATATCATCCAATCTAATCTCTTCTGATCTAATCTAAGCTAATCTAATCTAATCTAATGCGTTATCAAGTTTAATCTCATTTGTTGTTATCTTATCCTATCCTATCATCCTGATCCATTCTGTCCCCAAAAACAGGTGGCCTCCATGGTGCAGCATCAGGATGGCACCTTAGATGTTGGAAGCTCAGTTGGTCACTTCACCCAATCCCAAAATAGGGGGGATTTATGGATGATTTCTGGATGTTCGTCCCCAAAAAAAGGAAGAACTGCGAGAATTCGGAGGCAACTTGACCCGTTCGCATATGGGATGAGAATGAGGATGAGGTTGGCGATTACTGCCGGAAAACCTGAGGCCATAGAAGGAGAAGTGCACCAAACTGTCGAGGACTGCCCTTCGACATGTCCCTGTCCCTGCCGTTTTGAAGGGCTTTCCGCATGGGAAAATGCGGTCACAATGGTGAGACCTGATCCCAGATTTTCACAGAGTTGAAACACTGGGTTTTTTCCTCGGGAGTGGGACAGAGCCCCAACTGGAAGTGGTGCCCATCATTGCCTCACGTCAGTGCTGAGGACACCAGAGAAGTTGTGGGGACATTGGCTGACGTTGCCGTAGGCGGGTATGGGTCGAAATGTTCCGCCTCCCAAATGGTTGATACGGTTGGCATCAAATATGACAAAATTCTGCACCTTGGGTCCTCAAGTGTTCCCACTTGCGGATTAAGTCTCAGGGTCGATTCGCAAGCTGAATTTACAGTGCAACCAGGACAATGTTCGATTCATGAGTAAGCCTGGAAGATAAGGAGCAAAAATTTGGTAGTGGTTAGAATTAAAGAAAAGAGGACCACAGATAGACTGGTCATGCTTACAATCAGATGCATGCCACATTTCAGCGTATAATATAGATATCCTGATATATGCATATATATATATACATGTGATTATTCTTATAGACTACTATTTTTGTTGTTATTATTATCATTTTTATTATTATCATCATCATCATCATCATTTTTATTATTATCATTATTAAGATTATTATTTTTTATTATTTTATTATATATTGTTATTATATATATATATATGTGTGTGTGTGTCATGTTGATCCCGTCCCCCAACCGCTACTTGCTCTGTTAGGCAAGTCCAAGTCCAGAGCCGGTGACCTCAGCGGATCGACCTCCAGCGATGTTCGTTGGGTGGTGAAAAACGATGGTGCCCTCTGGTAAACCATGGGAAAACCATAGGAAAATGGTGATTTAATGGGATTTTAATGGGATGTTATTGGGATTTTAATGGGATTAATGGAACTTACCCTCTGGTAATTTGTGACAGTTTGCGATTGAAAATGGCCATGGAAATAGTGGATTGACCCATTGAAAATGGTGATTTTCCGATAGTTATGGGACAGTTTACCAGAGGGTAATTGGTGAACATGGGGGATTACCCTCTGGTAAACTAAGCTGGCTATGGAAAATCACTCCCATGTTTCTCCATTGATAGGGAAATCGAAGGATGAATGGGCAATTGTCCATAGCTGTGTTAAATTACCGGGCATGTATGACTAAAAACTAGTTGGGATATAGCCTCGAAGCAGTTGAGGAGAGTATACTGTACCTAGTTAAAGACTATGGCTTGGCAATTATAACTTATGGTGTATATTGCGGACTATGAACCAGCCAATAATATGTAACTGTGTTATATAGCTGGGGGCTGACTGGGTTATACTAACTAGGTATATGCCAATATATTGATTCTGAACCAACCCCATAATTGGGATGAAACCACCAACTGATGGATGGATGACGTTCTGCCTCATGGATTTCTGGTCATTCATCCTGCCTGGGAGATGCTTGAATTTTCAGGATGAAACCTCCGACCATTCTCTATGTGCTACGATTTTAGCCATGCTGATGAATGTGATAGTGTTCCTGGTAGAATATGCCCTTTCGATCCCTTTTGGATCCTTTTGGTAGTTAAGAAGGATCCATAGTCAGCTAGTCATTGCTGATATTTCAACAAGAGAATGCGCCCCCAAACTTCTTGGGCTTTGTGGATCCTTGGTGTGTGGTTGCCATGATCATGCAACTCCGAGAACCTGCATCCTGCGCGCCGCAGCGGGTATTTGAATGACATTTGCTTGTGTTTGTTTATGTTTGTTGGCATATATTTAAGTATATACCATCTGGTTATGACTAACATAGCCATGGAAAATCACCATGTTTAATAGGTAAACCAGTAAACCATCTATAAATGGACCATTTTCCATGGCTATGTTAAATAGCCAGAGGGTATTTATAGTCCTAGGGTGACCGGTTCTTTCATTTCCGTGTCGTGTCTCTGGACATACCCAGCAGTTGTCACGCAGCCCCTTGGCATCAGTACGCATCACTAAAGACTTACAGCATTTTTTGTCTATACCTTCTTGACAACCACAGCAAGACTTGTGTAGTGAAGTGCGAACGCAAATTTGGATGATTGTGATCTTACTGAGCTACTGTGCATGTAGACTTGCAATGGTTGTATTTTTTCTTTTTCGTTGGGCCTCCGTCGTAAGATTTCATGAGTATCATTTCCCTCCTGAGGTCTTTAAAGCCACGCTTGGAGTTGGAGCCTCTGGTGTGCCACGGCTGCAACACCAACGGGGCATGAAGCCAGTGTGGACCATTGTGGATCTTCGCCTTCTCCAAAAAAAACGCTGGCGAATCCATTTAGTTTTGAACGTAGGCCATGGATGGCCGTGGTGTTTTTGGTCCGTTGAACTACCTGTGGTCTCAGGCTCTTCTTGGAGTTGCGTCAGGGACTCAAGCTGCAGAGCTTGCACTTTGAAGACGATGCCAAGACAACGACTGGAAGGATATGTAAGGTGGCTGGTGTATGCTTGTGTTTTTGAACAATTCTTTTTCATCCCGGTGATTTTGAAGAATGCCCCTTTGAAAGATCAGATTTTTGAGATAGATGAGGCACCACCCATCAATGGTTAATGCATCCCATTTGGAGCGCCCAGGTGTACTACGATGCCCTTGTGGGGCAGTGTGGCTTTGGGCACCGGTGCTGCTACCGTCACTGTCACTTGGATTGAAATTGTGGGTTACAACTTAGATGCAACTTGATTGTAATCCCAATGCTGGGCTTTGTTTCTAGCAAATCAATCATCTTTAGGGGTAGCTCTGCAGGCTCTGCATACATGTATATATATATATATGTGTGTGTGTATGTATATATATATATGTGTGTGTGTGTATACATATATATATGTATATATATATACATATATATATATATACATATGTATTAGTGCGCATGTTTGTGTGAGAGAGTGTGTGTGTGTGGCTGTGGTTGTTGAGCCCATTACCGATATGATCGCAAGAGCCAGCGAATTTCTGCGATAGTTGGTGAAAATGCCGGTGTTAGCAAGGAACTGCAAGTGCGACTAAGAATGTCGAATGGAGCCATCAATTTGGATATGATATGAGTATCCATGGTAGGTAGACATTAGATGATATACTATTTATCTATATCACTTATTTTCAAAAATGTAAACTAAACATATGATGAACATAGAGATTATATTTTTGCACATGACAGGAGAGGCCGATGGTGTGCCCAGGCCCTGGCCGGACGAGCCATCCACAATCGCTTCACACGGAAAGTGCAAGAGGTGGCCGCGCAGAACCGGTGAGGCGTGGGGGAACTCCTGGCCAAAAAAAGTTCAACTTAAATCTAAAAGTTGTTAGATAGTGTGGTTTCAAATTTAGATTGTCTATGATTATCTAAGATAACTAAGATTGCGATAGATTGCATATGATTGTATATAATGCTCGTGGCTGTTAGATACTCTTTGGAATCCGAGTTGATCAAAAGAAAAATGTTGCATCAGAAGGTCATTAGCCTTTGGAATTTTGATTTTGAACATTTGAAGTCTGCAGCAGTTCAACACTTCACCTCTTCAGATGCATCAGAGGGCTGGAGGTGTTCCTAACTGTTCAGGATCATCTTCGAACAGAATGAGCTGTCTGGAAAGTTCCATTGGTGGCTGTCGAGGATTTCCACCTAAAATTTAACCGGAGCCTGGAATCCAATGGAATTCGCAAGCTCCTCAGTGTGATGATTTTCCCTACGGCGATGACACGCCATCGTGCGCAGCATGTACTCAAGGGTTGCTCTTGCATGGCTTAGATCGTGCTTTAGGTTGAACTGTTTGCGAGCTTCAGGAGGAGAAAAGAAGTTCCAGCATCCAAATGAGTTTGCATTAGCAACCCCTGGCGGCCACACTTGAAAATTAGGCTACTTCAAAGTGTTGCAGGGCCAGCTCTAGACAGCAAAGATTTGCTGGTCCTGCTGCCTGATCTCATTTTGCACTTTTTGCTACCTGGCATCTCCAGTTTTAAACTTTCGGTCTGAGTTTGACCTTGGCCCTCCAAAGTTGAGCTCATGAAATGTGAAAGGAGACTGTCTCAAGAAGACGTTGAATGAAATCATATTAAATCAATTCAAATCATATGAAATGATAGTGAATCTCTTGCTTGCTTCTGACTTTGGAAAACTTTGGATCCAGACTTTGACATGAGTGGCATCCAATAAGTCAGACCTGGCAGCTTCAACAAACGAGCTGCAACGCGCACATGTAGCGTGGCTGCTGCCCAACCAATTGGAGCGTGGCTGCTGCTTTTGTGTCGGCCCTGGAAAATGAAGGGTTGAAGGAAATTATGGACGCACGTTGCATCAGGCATAGCTGAATATGACACAAGCTCATTGTATATTATATAAGACCACCTGGGCCCGGATTTGTTTGTTTGTTCCCTTGGGCCGACAATATAATTACATGCTGAACATTTTTCAGCGTCATCATCACACAATAGATCTATTGGTATTTCTTTTTTTCTGTGACAGAACGATCTCCGTTTCACGGCCCCGCATTCTCACAGATCAGACATGAAAGAGCCATGCCATCTTAGAGGATTTCATCAGTGAGAGCTTCTCAAGGCTTATTCCAGCCCATTATGAACTTCAACGCATTGCAATGATGCATCATTGAGTTTGCTTAGTTTGACTGTCCTTCCTGGCTTCGAGTTTGAGTAGTTAACAGTTCCCTATGCCTTTGGAATGGGGAAATGGCGCCTCTGTTTCGGTATGATGTGGCAACGATTTTCTTTGTCATGCAAATAGTTGATAATTATATGCATATATATATATATTTATATTTATATATCCGTGTTCTATATAAACATATCTAAACTATTGCTGTACTATCCAGTAGCTCTCCATCACTTCAGCTAGTGCATCATGAGCCTCTCATAGTGCACATCGCTGGGGCGCAGCTTGGCACTGCGTTTTCTTGCGCTGTGACCTGAGGGAAGCTGCTCTTTTTACGTGTTTCTATAAGATGTGATATTAATGGGGATTATTAATGATTATTAACTATTAAGTACCATACGTATATTATATATAAACTATAACTATATAATAAGTAATATGTTTTTATTGGGATCAATTCATACTTTTTTCAAATGGATGGGTAGAATAATGCATATCAATGGATCGCTTAATTGCACAACCCGGGCCGCGGACAGCTAAGAAAAATCCCATGGTGTCACCAGAGTGACCACACCAAGGAATGGACGACAAAGCGGCATTTCCATTTGGAACCTTGGTAGGCGTGGCTCCGTGCACGATAATACTTCAAGGAAGACCCTCTTTTGGGGCGAATCCACTGATTTTATTTATTCTGTAATATTCTGTATGGATAGTTGGGTGTTCGAACATATGTATATAGATACTTGTATTTTGACTAGCTGCTAATTTCTTTCGATGAATCAGTTGACGATCTTAGACTGCATACAATAATAACAACTGTATAGAATCATGTATGTATGTATGGTATGGTATGGTATGGAGTGGAGTGGAGTGGAATGGAATGGAATGTAATGTAATGTATGTTATACGAGGTTATGTAATGTAATGTAATGTAATGTAATGTATGTAATTAAATGTATGTATGTAGTTAATGTAATGTAATGTAAATGCAAATGTAAATGCAATGTAATGTAATGTAATGTAGTGTATGTATGTATGTAATTAATGTATGTATGTAATGTAATGTAAATGTAAATGTAAATGCAAATGCAAATGTAAATGCAAATGTAAATGTAATGTAATGTAGTGTAGTGTAGTGTAATGTGATGTAATGTATGTATGTCATGTGATGTGATGTGATGTGATGTGATGTAATGTAATGTAATGTAATGTAAGCATGTATGTATGCATGCATGCATGTATGTATGTATGTACTTGTATTGTGTTGTGTTGTATTGTATTGTATTGTACTGTATTGTATCGCATTGTATCGTGAAGTGAAGTGAAGTGAAGTGATGTGATGTTTATGTTCGTATTGTATTGTAATGCGATGTGATGTAATGTAATGTATGTACGTGTGGGCATAGTATGCGTACACACGTATACAGATGTATAATGGACATATACTCCTTTCCAGGCAATGAGGAGAAGCTCGCAGCCCGCTTGGGGGCCCATCCTGCCAGGATTTGTTGCTGGGATTCGACCAAGAAAAGGTGAGATTTAAGCAGCAAAAACTAGTAAAACTGGGAACTCACCAACAAGAATTGGAATTTAACCAGCGCATGTATGGATTGAACCGGACATAGCTGCAGATATTTGTTGACATATATATATATATGCATACCTATATACATATATACATATATATATTGATATATACATATGTTAGATTAGATTAGATTGAAATTAGATTAAGATTATATTAAAAGATATCTATACACACACATATATATATACACATATATATGCCCCCATAAACTGGTCGCTGCATATCCCTAGATGACCAATATGACCACCAGTTATTCATTGCTGGGCAGCACCAGGTCTTCGTGGGCGTCCTAGCTCAGCGCCTCCAAGGCCTTCTGTGCGGTGGTGCGGGCCTCAGAGGATGCACTCTAAGATGGGCATTTGTCCGCTGGTAAACGTTTACATGACTATGGGAAAATCCACCATTTTTAATGGATAAATCAACTATTTCGATTGGGCCATTTTCAATAGCAAACTGTTTGTTTACCAGAGGGTAACAGTTTGCGAACTGGAAAATCATCAGGCTTTTTCAGGTATATCAACTATTTCTATGGGCCATGTTCAATGGCAAACTGTCAAACTGTAACAAATGACCAGAGGGTAAACATTAAGAATGGAAGGAAAGCAAGTCAAAGTGGATGTACCTGAAGTACCTGGGGGATTTCTTGAATCCATTTTTTTAGCTACGCAACTTTTTGGGGGGTAGCAATCGCCAGCCATGGCTGGAAGGAAAAGCCAATAGCCTTCTGGAAGCAGCAGATGAGCACCAAAACAACTACTTTGGGAAGTTATGGAAAAGTACTGGGCAGTAAATTTCACAAGATTTAAAGCTCCCCAGCAGATCACTGATGATAACTGGCTGCTTTGAAGCCACAGAATAAGTCAATTGCACTTTTCTCCGCTTGAGTTGTTTCATTGGGAGCACCCAACAGGTGTTTGACACCCATTCCACACTGGAATCCGTGGGTTGCGATCAGCCAGGAATTCCGGCCCCAGAAACCCATCCGAGCGCTGCTAAGGAAAGGGACTCCACGAGTGTTGGGGAGCCCAGGTTCCAGGTCGTTGTTGTGATTATATGGGGGTTTCCATAAATGGGGTTACCCCAAAAATGATAGTTTTTAATGGAAAATCCTATTTAAATGGATGATTTGGGGGTACCACCATTTATGGAAACCCCTATGTATGTAGATGTAATAGGATGGAAACGTGCGCAAGCAAAAAAAAAGAGAAATCATCCAGATCATGCAGCATACTGGGGCATAAACAGTATCCAGCATCGTGGTTTCAAGTACGTGTTGTGTTTCTGTTTGAAATGTGCTTTACTCATCAGTTCCCATTTGTTCACATGGAAATGTCCATTCTTGGAGGATTTCCCAGCCAGCCATGTCTAATTCCCTACCCGCCTGAGGCCTCAAACCTTCGACTCATTGCTGCGCACGGGCGAAAGCACACGACTGTTAGGCCACGGAAAACGTCAAGCGGTGCCTTTTGAAAAAGTTGGAACTTTCATGGGGAAGATTGGTGGAAGGTGACAAATACCATGATAAATACCATGGTTCAAGGGTTTCTGGTTACCATTTCAATGGCAAAATTGTGGATTTGGGTTGCCTCGTTGTTGGACAAAGCCATGCCACAAGCAAGCGCCACAAACAGGTGGCTGGTGACTAGTTTCAACATTGTTTGGGATGATGATCATTGCACTGCAAGATGGTAGTTTTTCTATGTGAAACACCGTGAAAAATATGGATATTCAGATGGATAGGTGGATATCTAAGTACTTGGATTGAATCAGACCCGCAGAGTCGGGTCGCCCTTACTGCCCTTTCGTGACCCATCCAGTTTGGGAGGCCCGAAGCACAACAATTTCCTTGAAAAGGTACAGCGTGTTGTGGAACAGGACTGCCGGCAGCTTTGGAGGATGCCATTCTCCAGAGGAATTGGATGGAATTGGATGAGTCTTCCAGTTTTTCTCTGGGATCCCTCTTTGTTGCTTCAAAAGTCGGGTTTTGCCTCGCATCCGAAGCCTGCCAGCCTTCAGGAGGAGCAGAAGCGAAAAGAGGAGCGAAAAGTGCAGGGCATCCCCACAATTTCCTGGTCATGATTTATCCTATTAGAATCATGTGAAGTTGCCATTTTGGGTACCATTTTTGGACACATGTTGGACATTGAGCAACTAGTTGGGGGAGAGGCTGAGATGCCATGGAGATGCCCAGCCCATCCTGTGTTTAAACGGGGTCCGTTTCTGATCGTTTGTGACTAACAGGTAGGTTAAATAATCATTGGCCAGCCAAGCCTAAAGTGGTGTTGATAAAATCGGTGCTTTATTCTGGGATATTCTGGGCATTCCTTGTGCGTATGATATGGTACTGTATATGTAATGTACATGTGCATACATACCTACCGCAACCAAACGTGCCCGTGCCAATGGCAAGTCCCCTTATCTAGCAGGAAAATCATCAAGAAACATGATGCAAGTGGTGGATCCTCCTTTCCCATGATGCATACTATATGTAAATACAGATACATCATGATATATCTATATGTACCGGTTTTCAACCATATGCGAAAATAAGCCATAACTATACGTTAACGATATGCCATATATCAGATATGTCGCCCCACCTTACAATTATTCCTGGCAACAAGCTCAAGGACGCTCAGCGAGCTTCCGATGGCGTAGCCAAGCGAAAGATCAATGAGGAGTCCGAGTTGATGTTGGACCGAAGAACACGAATACAGTGTATATATATTTGTATATACATTCACATTTAAACATATATTACATTATATTTTAGCATGTTATTATATAATATCATATTATATTATTATATTTTGTTATATTATTATATTCTATTATATTATATCTTATTTTGGTATCATATTATAATATATTATATGATTATTATTTTATTGTAGTTTCTATTATTTCATATTATATTATATACATGTGCGTGGATGTGTATGTATGTACACACACATCCTTTAAAGACCCTGACTGACTCTGGAAGATTTGACCCACAAATTTGAAGGTGTACGGCGTGTACAGTTTCAAATGGAGGTGATGTGGGTTGGAGGGCAAAAGCGCGGGTACAGCTGCTGTGTCGACTGCATGACTAACAAGGGACGGTAAGTCGCTGTCAATCTTCACACCAGGGCTCGGGTGGATTTCATGAGCAACTATGGGTAGACGGCAACAAGATATGAGAATATGCCCTAGAAAAATGCCGCCCTGCGGAATCAACAATGATTGGCATCCAGTTGGCAATACCGGAGATGAGCAGATTGCGTAGGCATCAAAGATTGGGACATCAGGGGCTTGAAAGCCTTCAGGAGACCAGCCCAGGTCGGATGACAAACTAAAACCAGTGGTGGATTGGGGGTGCCCCAAGTTTCCATTCCTTGGTGTCGAAGGAGCGGTACCTTCGGAACCGTGCTCAGCTACTGATCTTTCCTGGACAGGAAGTGCTGAGATCTGTTGATACTCAAAATGCGGCAGAGTGGAGACACTCACATTCCCTCTTATTTGATTATTTTGATCATCTACAATGGTTGCCATCACTATGCGTCACTTCATTTTGTATCTCAGAGCCCAGAGCCCTGGCCCAGCCTCTCCCTGAGGCCAAACTTCCGCAACCGAACCCAGGCCAAGCCCAAGGTGTTCTCTGAGGTAGGATTGCGTCATTTGCTGGTCGTTAAATGGTGATGAACCCCTGCAAAGGTTGATGTTATGGAGGACATATGAGGATATACAGTGATGATGATCATGGTATGGACTGCATCTTTTTCATTTGAAGTCATGCATTGTGTATCAAAGTCTGAAGACCCCAGCTGTTCGTTGGGAAACTCAACCTTCTCCCCGTGTCATCCTTTCTGTTCGCTGTTCCAACGTGGAACGAGCGGCTGTAGGTGCCACTACTGGCCACTTCAGAGTCAGCAGTGCTTCGGCCCAGCAGACCACGAATTGACCGGACATGTTGAGTACCAAGCCATCTCATTTTTGGAATGCCCAATGCATAATGACTTTCACCCAAACGCCGTTGAAATGGTTGATGTATTCGATATTCTTTGTCTAAGTGACTTCAGTGCTCCTAGACCTGTTTAGTGCTGAAGTATTTTAAAGGAGTCAGGAAAAGTGTGACTCAGGATGGATCACACTGATCACACAATGGTTTTGCAAGATTTTGGATCCTGAGGTCAATTGGTACATGAAGCACAGTCGCCTTCCTCCCAGCCAGAAGCTCATAGACCTTTGACACGCAGTCAGACATGATTGTCATCTATAGGTTCGTGCCCAGCTATTCTCAGCCTTTGTGGAAGGTGAACGATTCATGACAACTCCCTACTGGTAGTTGGTGGTTTCAAAACATGTCGCATATCTTGCCTTCTTCATCCTACCTGGGATGATGATCTGAATGAACTGACTATAATATGTGTGGGAACATTCTGTTATGTTTCCTTAGGTTGAGCTGCCTCTTGCGCATGCGAACACCGAATACCGGTGCGAGGGTCCTTGGTTTGGATGCGGAAGCCGCAGTTAAAATGTCCACTGGCAGAGTTGTTTTGATTTGGTTCGTAGGTTGGTGTAAATGCTTGAAACTTGAAACCTTGACATTTCAGACTTGAATATAGGCAGAGCTTTGGTTGCAGGATGCAGTGGGGAACAGCACCACTGCGGCACTCAGTTTCACTGTAGCTATATAAGCAATGCTAAATGGCAGTTTTTTGAAGGTGTGGTGGCTTGTTGGGGATGAAAAGCACCATCCTTATACACCCCCTCGCTGTAAAGAATTGATCCACAGTTCAGATTCTGCTTCAACTTCACTCACTAAAGCATGTGACATTATATACCATATATAATTTATTATAATATATTATAATATGATATAATATAATATATATTATATTAGTATCCAGATCCAGTCTAAATTTTCCACCAAAGTAAGTTATGAAACGCATTTCTGCTTGGCAGGCCAAGTGCTAATTAGCACAAGTACAACAAGACCCCAAGGACATCCAATTGCGAAAATTGACTTGTCGTGCGCTATAGCAACCCCCTAAGAGAGAAAAGCAAAAACCCCATATACCTAGAATCGTGGTAAAATACTTTCATTAGATACTGTTCATCTTTTTTGGGGTTAATACACACTAATGCCTATGTTTGCAAGACTGTGCTTGACTCGACAAGCCTGGAAAGTGATACGCGCAGCGGCCGGACGGCACTGCTGAAAAGTGAAGATTTGGGCTGCGGTCACCCAATGAAAAAAACCACATCGGCCCACGAAACGACGACCAGATTTATTGAAGACAGCCTCAAGAGACAGATACTCGCAGATATAGATATACAATTGAGATCTGATCTATTGAGCGAAAGCAGGTTTAAGACTTAGGAATTCTTCAGCACTATTTGTTACACCTTACGTGTTTGTTTGAATTGTGCATTCAGATTTACCATGCATGGGTCTTGACGAGGATATCCGTAATATATAATTATGCTGGTATTATATATTGTTTTATATATTTAATTAAAAACAACGTAATTATATCTATTAGTCGATTATTTTGTCATTTATGCTAAATACATTGTAAAATAATCAAGAATATAGATATATTATATATATATTGGAAATTGATTTTAATTCTCCCCTGGTTCGTCCCAAGCCGCTGCGAGCTATTGCTATTGCCTTTGCTTGCCGAGCTTGTGCGCTATTGTCTCTGTGCTCGTGCTAACACGCACCTCTGCGAAACTGGCCGCTTGCTGCACCCGCCTTCTACCGTTTTGGGGAGCTTCTTTGGGAAGCGGCTTTCGGTAGCAACCCTGGAGAGCAGCTTTGGGGAACAACTGTGGGGAGCAACTTTGCAGCTTTGCAGCAGCATTGACGAACAGTTTTTGAAGAACGACCGCTTTGGGGAGTAGCTTTAGAAAGCAACTTTGGGAAGCAGCTTTTGGCAACAACTTTAGGGGGAGCTTTAGCAGCTTTGGGGAGGAGCTGTTCGGAGCAGCTTTCAATAACAACTTTGGGAAGCAGCTTCGGGGAACCGCTTTGGGGAGTGGCTTTGAGGAGTAGCTTTGGGGAGCAGCTTAGGCTAGCTTTCCAGAACGGCTTTGCAGAACAGTTGCTTTGAAGAACAGCAGCTTGGGGGAGCAGCTTTCGGTAGCAAATTTGGTACCGCTTTGCAGAATAGCTTTGGGGAGCCGTTTTGGTGAACGGGTTTGCAGAATCGCAGCTTTGGGGCAACAGCTTTGGAGAACAGCTTTGGGGAGCAGCGCCGGCGAGCAGCTTTGGGGAGCAGCTTTGAACAGCTTCCGGACCAGCGGGAAACAGGAGCAGCTTTGAGGAGCAGGTTTGCGCGGCAGCTTCGAACATCTTCGAACAGCAGCTTTCAAAAACCGCAGCTTTGAACCTAGCTTTAGAAGTCTTTAGAACAATTTTGCGACAATTTTCGGTAACAATTTTGCGGAACAACTTTCGGAAATTAATTTAATTAGGAAAAATTTAATTATATTATTATTAATGATATTATTATTAATTATATATTTGAAAAATATTATATAAATATTTATTATATATAAAAATATAAATATATATATATATTTAAAAATAAATAAAATATTTTAAATATATATATATATATTTAATTAAAATAAAATTATTAAAATTATTAAATTATATTGTTAATATCTTTGAAAATATAATATATTTTTTTTATTATTGATTTAAAAATATATATATAATAAATTTATAAAAATATATATATATTATTCATAATATTCTTTATTAATTAATATATTTTTAATTATTATATAAAATTATAATGATAATATTAAAATTAATATTATATATATAATATGTTTTTTATAATTTTAAGATTTATTATTAATATTATATAATTTATTAATTATATTTATATTTTAAGGTATTTATAAAATATAATGTTTATATTTTATTTTTTTTTATAAAATTATTCTATAAAATAAATATATATATATAATTATTGATATAAATAAAGAAATATTTATATATTTAATAAAAAAAATGTAATTTTTGAAGATTTTTATTTTATTAATATTATTTATTTAGATAATTTGTATTATTATTAATATTATTGTAAAAATATTAATATTATTATAAAAATATTAATATTATAAATTAATATTTTGAATTTATTTAAATATAAAATATTTATTTTTGAATAAATTATAGTTTATATTAAATGAAAAAAAAAAA